GTCCAGGTTTTTTAGGTCTTAAAAACAAGAGCCTGGGCCTTTCCATTTGGGAAAAATTAGGGACATTTTTTGAAACTGGGGAAAAAAATCATATTTAACATTTTTCTAAATAAATTCAATTAAGATGTGTGTTTTTTTTTCATTTGCAAAGGTATTTCATTGTCTTATCTTACATTCAGTCGATCAGTTTTTGGAGAATGCCATTTAGAATTTTTTAACTACATTCTTAATACTAGTATACATACTAGTATTACTGAGTTTGGACATTTGTTAACCATATTTGTGTGTTTCGATTCTCTTTTGGGAATTTCTTTCATGAATGACATTATACAGTCCCCCTACGACCCCTAAAAAAACCCTCGGGCCCCAGGGTCAGGGGCACTGAGGGGAATAGTCTGAAAATAAATTAATGCTTTGGAATCTGCTCTTTGGTGTTAATCATTTATGATAAAATACAATTTATGATAAAATTTCCAAAATTTTGAAATATGTGGCCCCAGGTAAGTGGTTCCTGTGGGGTGGGGTGCACAACTGGTTATATTAAAATGAAAATGCATTTCCTCTTTGATCTTGATTTTGATCTGGGTATTTTAACGAAACCAGAGTAAGCATGCTAAATGTGCTAAGTGTTTTGTTATGATAAGCAATGGCGCCTCTTTCAAAATTGTGAATTTCATGGCCTCTGGTTTAAAACACAAACCAAGTTCAATTGCTGGAAAGTTGTTACATGATTTTCATGTGACCTATAAGGCCCGTGGGCCTCGTGCGTTTAAACGCAATAAAAAATATTTCTTTCTCTAACCTGGCCTCAAGCACAGGTGCTTGGAGATGGGAGAACCCCCCCCCCCCCCCACCCCCACCCCACCCCGTGTTGTGTACGCCAAGGGTTTTTTGACTTTTAAAAAATAAAATATTTTTTGTAAAATATTCAGAAAGTATAACGGTTGAAAAATCCAGAATTTAACCTCAAGCATCTGTGATCTGTTCATCTGTAAATCAGACTAAAACTGTAGGAGCCGGGGGTAGTGTTCTGAATGTTTTTCACATATATTTCTACTTTATATAATAATTAACGAACATGATAACACGTTCATCGAAATAAAAAAAAAACGATGTACAGAACTGTGTATCTTAGTGACGTTTCTGGTATTTAATTAATTTAGACCAAAACTGTAGGAAGAGTAGCATTTTGAAAGTAGTTCACAGAATGTTTTATCTTAAGTAACCATGACAACACCGTTCATCGAATTCAAAAACCTACTTGTTAAAATCAGACCAAAACTGTAGGAGGAGTGGTACTAGTATTTCAGGCGCGGATCCAGAATTCTTTTTCCAGGAAAAATTTCCAACCAAGATGTTTCTTGACAAGCAAAAAATAAGGGGGGTATCCACAGGCGTACTGTCACAAATAATAATGTTATTGTATAGTAGAAAATTAGCGTACTGTATGAAACAAACGCCTGTGGTGGTATCGTTGTCTTTTCATACCAGTTTCACATACATCCGTGTTTTCGACGAGGGGTGCGGTTTTTCTACGGGGGGGGGGTGTTCCAAAGTAACTATTTCTTGGTTTAGAAATAACTCTGCAAATTCCAGGGGTTGGGGGTAGTCTGGAACCCCCCCCCCCCCGACCCCTCGTGAGATCCGCGCATGATAACATGTTATAGTACCATTAGTCTTTTACACATACATGCATATTTGATGTATTCCTTTTAGACAGGATTATTGTTGAAATCATTTATGTCAACTGCTAATTGTATAATTGTTTTGCTATTCATTGGCTTATCTTTTCCTTATTATTGTAACAATTTCATACTTGTCTGTTATGGGCTCTAAATTAGAAATAAAATGTTCTGTTCTGTTCTGTTCTGTAGTCGGAAAATAGCTCTACAGAGCTAATGTTTTTTGTTGATGTAGCCGACTTTAAATAAATATTATCTTATCTTATTTTGAAAACTTGTTTACAGACAGACAGACAGGTGGACAGCTAGACTGGCGGATAGACGACGGACACCTCTCGCATAAGCTCCAGTGCTAGGGGAAAAAAATCTCGGGAACTCGTTTATTTCGAAATACAGGGTCACGTTGGTTAATCATTCCTATGGAAGCCCGTAACATATTTTCTGAATATTCCTCTGATAACCCATAGGGTAAACATTCTCTACCATTAGTCTCGTTCAACCAGACCCTCGGCTGTCTCCGTAAATCTCCGACCACCCACTCTGCTTGTCGGAGATTTACAAAAGCGTCTGGTTGAACGAGACTATCTCTACCATCGGCTCATGAGAGAGAAACGAACGACAACTCTGCATGGAGATTGAGGGTAAAATTGGAGTTGCAATCCATAGTCAAAATTGTGTAAATGGCATTACACCTTAATTGACAAAAGTTCTATTCATTGGAATGCTGATTTATCGGTGTTCATGGGGGTCGGCCAATGTTATTCTCTTTAGACAAGTGGACAGACTTAAGGTACATGTATGTCACTCGTGAAATTTGTTAAATCAAGGATTTATTGAAAAGTTGACTTGTTTGCACTTAAAATTTAACTCCTTGGTTAATTACTTAAACCTTAATTATATTTTATCAGATGTAACCATGGCAAAAAATATGATCTTATTTTACGTAAAATATATTGAATAATATTTATTATTGAAAAAATCATGCAAATTAATGCGCGTAAATTATTGTGTGACCTTTTTGCACTAAAAAGTAACATATTTTGGGGTATTAACATCTTCGCTAGCCAAGGGTTTCTGATACGCTACTCTCCTCATTAACCCTTGGCATACGGTGAAGTCAAAAACGGGATTATTTTCGTCACATGATCTTGAAGCTCTCAGGTACGCACAGATTGCGTCATCGACAGAAATAAAGACGCATGTTTAAAAAAATTAAATTAAAGTTTTTTCAAGAATAATTTAGAAGCAATAATTGAGTAATGTTTATTTATTACTTATAGTACAAATCGGAAGCTTCAATATAGATTCTTAATCACATATTTAGAAGACATTGGATGACACCATAGCTATTCATAGAATTGCATGTTATCTTACGGATCGTTGTTTACTTGCGTTTTTCAATTCCGAGATTAAAGAGTCAAGAAGTATCCCGAACGCAAACATCGTCATTTACAAAAACAATTGATGATTGTTCGACATGTGTGTACTGAAATCCAATCAGAACTCTGGAAAAAAATCCCGATTTTTATGAACACCGTAGGCCAAGGGTTTATGAGGAGAGTAGCGTATCAGAAACCCTAGGCTAGCGAAGATGGGGTATTAAAAAACTAAATAGGCAATAAAACATTTTCTTAAATCAAGCTTTTTACGACTTAAGTGCTGACCAGTCACAAGTATTGAGTACTTTAAAATAATTAAAGAAAAAAATTGGGTCAGTGATGTTAATTTTGAAATAATGGTCAAAATATGTGATTTTCAGGCCAAAACGGTGTAAATTTTATATTGACTTATTTGACTTATCTTCATTTTTTAGCAAAGTTTGTTGAAGAAAGGTGTAAAACTTGTTCTAAAAATATAAATTAAGACCTGTATTAAATATTCCCAGCAATATCATAATGGAAAATATTCTCCGAGTAAAAGTATGTGAGGCTAAAGTTCCAAGATATTAAATTTAATAAATGTGCAGATTTGCAGAATTATCTGCTAAATATCCTTCCATCACAAAAAATAGTCCCTCACAAATCTTGCTTCGTTGTAGCTTTTTGAGCAGTTTTTTCGTTGAATGTTAAAATATTAACATTGTTGAATTAAATATGTTATAAAAATTGAATTTCAATAAATAGTTTTAAAGAAAGAGGTTCTGCGTGAACTTTTCCAAAAAGCTGACGAGTGACCTACCTTAAATCAAATTTCATTTGCATTATTTTTATAACTGCTTTGATACAGTCTGATTTTCGGGGGGGGGGGGGGGGGGGATAATAAATTAACTGATAATTTTTATGTATGGAAAAATATACTTCGACATTGTTATGTAAGCCTATTGTTTTATCTTTCTTTAGACCTGTAGGCGAAGAAATTGCATAAAAGAAATGAAAACATAATATCAAAAAATATTTTATCAACGTATATTTAAAAAAGTTAAATTCAAAAATCAAAAACCCGATTGGAAGTAGAAAAGATATTTTTTTAGTTTATGATTTAACCTAGCTAAAGGGAAAAAATTATACTTGAGTTTTTCTTTATTTAGAATTCATCAGTGATTCAGAAAATACTTGGAGTGTTATTATCCTTTCTTAACAAAGTTAGAGGGAGGTATTAGCTCTCCATCTTCGCTAGCCAAGGGTTTCTGATACGCTACTCTCCGTTTATGAGGAGAGGAGCGTATCACTATCAGAAACCCTTGGCTAGCGAAGATGGTAGCTCTCTGGTTGAAAAAAATTGGATACGACAAACCAGGTTTCTCAAAAGTATTGGGTTTCAGAAAAATACAGGTTTTAGAATCTAAAAATTCTATTTTTAGAGAGAAAAATAAAAGTAAAAATAATTTCAGTATGCCCCATAACGAAAATATTGCTTTACTTCTTCCTCCCTATTGTACTCGTGCGCAGAGGAGTTTGAATAAGTTATCATAGTTACCATATGGTCTATAGTACCAGGGAATGAATGTAAGTAGACCAAGAATTCTGATGCAATATTTTTAAATTGACGTCATTTGATTATTCGGCATTCTTGACGTTATAAATGTGACGTTATTTGACGCCGAAAAGGTTTTTATAAAAGTCTGTCCACTTCTCAAGAGAGAATAGGTCAGTGGTCAATGCAATGTGGAAACACTAGTAGTCCTTATCGAAATTCCGTCAGATTTTATTCCAAAGTGACTTATATATTTCAATAACCACTCATGGACTCGTAGCTGCAATAATGTAGCCCTCTCCCCCCTTTTTTTGGGGGGGGGGAGACCTCTCCAGAAAATATCAGATAAAAAAATCGGAGAGGGCTACATTATTGCAGCTACGAGCTAATGGACTCAGAACGCCTGTCGTTGCAAGTGCGATTTTCATATTTTGAGAGGTTTTTGTTTGTTCAAGGCTGCCGTAGAAAAGAATGTGAATCCAGCTGAAGGTGTGAAGGAAACAAGGTAAATTATCATGTTTTTAATCTTAAAATGGTTTTATGTGCCTTTGTCTGGATATATAAAGTGTATGAAAACAGAAGCCATAGGGTTAAGTTGAAGAAATCTAGGCTAGTTCAGGAATGCGTACAGAATCGCCACCCAGCATCTCGATCGATGTCTGTTTTGTTTACTTTACCTTTTTACCAGTGTTTACAATGAAAATTTGACAGATAGGCCTAAAGCAAAAGTAGATTATAAAGCAACCCAAATAAAAAAGAGTTCTTACATTGCAACTTTTAGGCTTTTAGGATGTTTTCAACTAGGCCTATATGGATATCAAAATTCAAATGCATTGTTTGGATAACTGCACTAAATGTGTGTGTAGTTTAAATTTAAGGCGAGGCTGTAAGCAGGCATGAATAATTAGGCCAGTTAAAGTATTCAGTCTCTCAAGAAGATGTAATTTGATAGTGATTTGATAGCTTTAGCACTGGCACAGAATTACTTTAAAATACAAATATTTTACAAATATTTTATTGGCACAAACACAATTACAGTAATTGGTAAAGGCCCATAGAAAACATAGTGATAAGCATGAAAATACAGTAGAACACAACTAGAATACAAACAATTGGTGTAGCAAATTATGTATTGTACTCATAAAATACCCCTTACCAAAATATTGACCTTCTGGCAACATCTTCTGGCTTTATTGCCGCAATATTGCAGCAACAATCTGGCAATACATTGCTGCAATATTGCGGCTATATCGTTTTTCGTATGTAAATTAGTTTTGCGGCAATATTGCCAGAAAGAGGTTGCGGCAATATTGCTGCAAATCATGACCACAACATTGATCTTCTGGCAACATCTTCTGGCATTATTGCCGCAATATTGCGGCAATATTGTTTTTCGTATGTAAGTTAGATATAAATTGGTATTTAATAGAAATAATGATCTATCAATCTAACAATTAACAAACTGTGCTGAGGAATATATAAGGCCAAAATAAAAAATACTCCTGTTTCCTGTCACCCGACCTACCCTACATTTTACCCTCCGACCCTGAAAGTTTTTATTACATTTTCATTTTTTGGATAACTATTTTTCTAAAATACTGAAGTTGACCAATGATATTTACAGAATTAATACATCACAAGTGTACAGGTTACCTTTACTTTATAAATCTTGATTAACAAACTTGCTTTGAAACTGTTAACATATCATTTTCTTGTTATTACAGTTATTACATGCTATATGTTCTGCATTCATTAAATTTTGAAAATAAAATTTTTTCTCAAAATAAAATTTTTTCCCTACCTACCGACCCTAATTTTTTTGGTCAGGGGACAGGAAACAAGAGTATATTTTATTTTGGCCTAACAAACAATAGCAAGCCACAGGGTCAATAAGAAATAGCTACTTCTGCTATTCTTTGAACAGATAGAAAATTATGTTGATCATCATAATGAAAATCAAGATATGTTTGTGAAACACTATGCGCCTGGTGGCAATAAAGTTTGAAAAAGCTATTTATAGCATATGGGTCACAGTCAAGGTCACAAGGTCATTGATCTTGGTGTCATTTGAAAGAACTTAATTAGTGGAGTATGCATACTAATATATGAAGTCTCTATCTCTTATAGTTCAAAATTTATGGCAGAGGATCAAAATGGCTATTTTTAGCATATGGGTCACAGTAAAGGTCAAATTGTCATTGACCTTGGTGTTACTTGAAAGAGTTTAATTAGTGAAGGGTGCATACCAAATATGAATTCTCCATCTTTTATGACTCAAAAGTTATGTCGAAGTTTCAAAAAATCTATGTTAAGTACATTGTATATGGTGACAGTCAAGGTCCCAAGGTCATTGACCTTGGTGTTATTTGAAAGAGCTTAATTAATGAAGGGTACATACTTAATACAAGTTCTATCTTTTATGGCTCAAGATTTATGTCCAAGGTTAAAAAAAACCTATTTTAAGGATATGGGTCACAGCCAAGGTGTCAAGGTCATTGACCTTCAGGTGTCTTTTGAAATAGCTTAATTAGTGAATTATGCATACTAAATATAAAGTCTCTATCTTTCATTAATTTTAAGTTATGATGAATATTCGAAAAAGCTATTTTTAGCATATAGGTCACAGTCAAGGTCACAAGGTCATTGACCTTGATGTCATTTTAAAGAACTTAATTAGTGGAGTAAACATACCAAATATGAAATCTTTATCTCTCATTGGTTCAAAAGTAATGGTGAAGGTTAAAGTTTACAAACAAACGGACAGGACAAAAACAATATGTACCCCCAATCTATCGAGACGGGCGCATAAAAAATGTTTATAGAAACAATATTAATATGCCACTGTGAAAATGTCCAGCAACTCTGCATTAATTTTCAAATAACATACTTTAATTCATCTTTTCCTGCTACTCTAGGATATATAGACATACAAGTCTAGTATGCATGCATCACAAACACTAATTGAAACATATATAATTTTTCAAATTTTATCTCCATTGAATCGTTCATCTCAAAAAGAATATTGGTTTTGACTCACCAAGTCTAATGATATGGAAACAGAGTACACATTCCTATAATTCTGCTTAAATTCTTTTTTCTAGTCATTCCACACTATGCAGTCTTACTACTCATCTTGACTAATCCCACTGTACACAATTAACAACTCTAATTAACTTGATACAAGTCAGTAATGAAGCAAAACATGCTTGCCTTTGAATTCCCTCCACTTTATTTAAAAAGAGGAAGTAAATGACTGAGCATGCTCAACAAATGGCTCATGGGTAATCCTAGATGTTGCCAGAAAGTTTTTTTCTGGCAGTATTGCCAGAATGTCACCGGAAGTTGTTGCAGCTAGCGGTGATATTTCATTTTTTCTGGCAGTATTGCCAGAATGTCACCAGAAGTTGTTGCAGCTAGCGGTGATATTTCACTAACCCAAAAAGCTTGTTTCTGGTGACAAAAATGTGTTGCCGCAATGTTGCCGCAATATAGCAGCAATATTGCTGCAATAATTTTACTTTGGTAAGGGACTATATAAATACATACATATGATTCAGTTCAATGTAGTTACTCATTTATAGCTAAAATATTTTTTCTTATATCAGATATTTGACATAAAAATGATGAGAATATTTTAAGAACCTTTTTACAACTAGTTTTCATCAATAGTTTTAACAATTTGTCATTATTATGGATTGTTTGGTTCAAGTTAGGAAAAGTAGATAGTTTTGTTTTGAATATGTTTCTCTGTGCTTCATATTTTGGACATAGCAAAATGAAATGTTTTAAAAATATAGCATTAATTAATTCTCTTTTACTTGCATGACCTAAAATGTAACTGAGTTTTATTAGTTAAATAATAAAATGATTTCTTAATTTGGTTGTTGGGAATTAATGTCGCAGCTGTTGCAGAAAAAATACATAACCCAGGCTGCATCCTCAGGTTTATTTAATTTGTTTCTGCTATAGCTGCGAATTGACCTGACTATTACATGTAACAAACATTTAAGAATGAAGACTACTCCCTGGAAAATCAGAGCTACTCCCTGGGACTACTCCCTCATGAAAATTTATTAGTAGTTTTAACCAATCAAAATGTTCAGTGGGCGGAGCGTTCATTAGGAATCTCGAGTCTGTGACCTCATGTTATAAGCAATGTAACTATGACATCAAAACATTTCGACATGCGATGTCAAAATCTTACTTGAATTCTAGCAAAATGAAGACAATGATAATTTTTCGAAATGTCAGTGAATATACTTTTTAAAAATAATTTAATTGTTTTAGGACACGATGCATTACTTATCATACAATCTGTTAAACTGCATGCATTTGTAAGTATATGCCTCTAACAGTGTTTTTTTTTTGATGTCGGAATATCTGGTAAAAAAATTAAATAACCTATGATTGTTTCGGTATAATAAATCATGCAGTTATGGAATGTGAACTCAAGAAATAGCAATATAAATTTATGGTTCCCCGAGGGAGGAAACTATTTCCTATTTCCCTCGTACCCATTCAATAACTGTATAATGTACTTATTAGATGAAATGTCTTGTATATATACATAAATGATGCAACAGCCATTGTTCAAGAAATCTATATATTGAACCAACTTAATTAATTTAAAGTTAAAATACATATCATTTTCAGGATATTGTAGAATGGGGAAGTTGAGAGCTTTCTACATTGAGCTTGAAAATCCCCAAGGGGTTTTCTTTGCTGGACAGATTATAAATGGCAGACTTGTTGTAGAACTGGATGCAGAGATGAAAATGAGAGGTAATGTTTTAATTCCAGATTTTTAAAAATAATGTTATGGTAGTAATAATTTTGTTTAAAGAACATCATTCATCTAAATTGAAGGAAAATTAAGCCTTTTTCCTTGAGGTGAAGCTTGCAGGGAAATACTAAGGTTTGCTCAAGGGAAACTTGAATCCTGCTGACCCTGACCACCCTGTTTTATCATTATACTGATACAAAATCAGAACAGTTTCAAAACTCGTAATGTTTAGCACCTGTTTTTATATGCAGTACAAATATAGAAATATAGAAAGGTGGAAATATTGATCACACAGAATATAGATAATAATTTTCATTAATTGAATTAAATGTCTTTAAAATGCATGTATCTGCAAGAAATAGAGCCATTTCCAGTTTAGCTTGGACTTTCAGTAAGGCAAGGCATTCTCAATTATACATAATTAATAATTAGATTCTGAAACTTGATATAGAAATTCGGGCAAATGCCAAATGGCAATTAGTGTATCGAATAACCAATAACATTGTCTCTTCTGGCAAAGAGGTGGAGTTTAATTCGTCTCATCGTTGTTAACAACAATTTAAAGTTCCTGATGTTATTAATTTCCTAACCAATGACAATCTATTCGCCATTTGACAGATGCTAATTTCATAGCGCCGAGAATGCCACACCTTACTGAAAGTCCAAGCTTACCTGGAAATGGTTCTATTATTATCCTACAGAATTGTACAGTCAACCTGATTGGTTTAGAGCATATCATGTGAGGTGTGACAATTTGTGATGTCTCCTTCACACGCAGGGTGACAACTGTTCATATTTGAATGAAATAACAGAGGTTTAAGCAAAATAACTCTTATCTATAATTATAAATGTACAAAATTGCTAAAATATGCGAGATCGGTAAACAATTAATTCGAATGATGACGTCAAAGTTGTGTGTTGACATATTTTAAAGTATGAAAACAGAGCAGAGTAGGGGAACACAAGAGGTTTGATTACTATTTTCTACTTTATTTAATTGATAATTTAGATTCTTCAGGATAATAAAACTATTATGGACTGTTTAGATGGGACATCACCAATTATCAGTCTGAGTAAAGTTGTCACCTGAGGGCGCTTGCGCTCTCGGGTGACAACCCTACTCAGACCTGATTATTGGTGATATCATCCTTCTAAACAGTCCATAATTGTATATTATATACTAAATATTTTACATTGTTAACCTCAACTGCATTTATATACTATCACAAAGTTATTGATCTACCTAGCTCTCACTGCACTTAACATGCTGATGTTGATGTCATCACAACAAGACTCTCTTTCCCATTTTAATTAGGTCTTGCCTCATAATATATAACTATCAGAACTTTTTTACAATCAAAAAAAATTATTGCTAGGAGCTTCAAACTGCATGAACAGCGATTTTCAGCAAATCCACAAATTATATCAAATTGCTCTTCCAGTGTTTTACCTATGTTTCAAAGTAAAGGTTAGAGATCAGTTGTAACAGGCTAGGGGCTAAGGTTTTAATGAACAAAATCCCTGCCGACTTAACCATTAAATTTTGATTTTTTTTTATTTCAAAGCAGCATTTGTGCCATTTGAAGAAAGTCAGTTTGGCCAGTAGCCGTTTCTTGGGGAAAATACTGCTCTTCTAGCTGTATTAAAAACTCAGTAAAGATCGATGCACTTGTAAACTAATTCTGCTTAAATAGCAAGGGTATATAGTGATCTGGGTTAAATATCGTACAATTTAATTTATTATTTCAGAAATAAGACTGACATTTAAAGGATTGGCTTACGTGCATTGGACTGAGAGACACAGTACAGGAAGTGGAAAAAATAGACGGACCACAACACGACATTACAGCGCTACTGAGAACTACTTCCACCAAATTGTTCCCGTATTTGGACAAGGTCTGAATGATTTATTGTCATTTTAATTACAGCATTTTTTATCTTATATCATTTCAGAAATAAGTTTGAAATTCAAAGGACAAGCTAATGTACACTGGACAGAAAGCCAAACAGTCTCCACAGGAAAAACTACAAGCACTGTAACCAGACATTATAGTGCATCTGAGAAGTACTTTGAGCACACCCAGCCTTTGTTTGGAAAAGGTGGTAGTTTGGAAGTTAGACTTTAATAGCGCTCATTTAAACCTTAAAAACTTGTCTCCGACTGTATCTCAGATAGTTTGTCACAGCTTGTTCTTGTTTTCGCATTTTATAATTTATATATTCTAATTTCTTTCTTGGCATAAATTGACCGATCTTAAACGTACATTTATGATCAATTTTTTTTACACAATAAAAGTCACATATTCATCTCCAGTTTAGCCCATATCAACAAAGTCAAAGCATGTAAAGTATCTTTACTGTGTTTGTGTTAAAATTTTTACGACCCTCCTCCTTGCATACACAAGGTGGAAGTATTGTGGTCCTACACAAGGTGTTCAAAGTTCAACCCTCTTTTTTTCTTACATTTATTTTTGGTTGTACATGTATGTACTACCGGTAGAAGTTTTTATGACACCCTCAAGATCTGCTGGACAGCCTAGACTGTGTAGTTGTTTGTCAGTCTGTACACAATTTTTTCAACATGCCACTTATTCTGTTATAGTGTATAGTGTGCTTGTTGTATTAGAATTCTTTGTGTTAGTAATAAGAAAGGACTCTGTGTATACATATGTCACTAAACGCTCCAACTGTTGTGGAATGTAAAGGATGGAAATCTATAGAAATGACTTAACGTCAACCTATAGACAATATGTTAATTTTTTCCACAGGTATGGGAATGGGTGATGATAACCGCTTGCCCCCAGGACAGCATGTTTATCCTTTCTCCTTCCAGCTGCCCCCAAATCTCCCATCATCCTTTGAAGGAGGAGTTGGTTATGTCAGATACACCATTAAAGGAACCATTGACAAGCCGTGGAAATTTGACCATACTACCAAGAGACCTTTCACTGTCAATGCATTGTTAGATTTGAACACACAGCCAAATTCAGCAGTATGTATATGTTTACACATTCTGTTAGGTGTTAATTAGTCAAAAGAATGCTTCTACATGATTTAATATTGTACGTGCATGTGTTAGATAAGGTTATTTTGGCATCAGAAGTATTGAACAAACTTGATATGAAATTGGAAATGGCATTTTACAAAAGGTTAATAAAGTATCAAGAATATGAGTAAAATATACTGTTACTTAATGGACACCATGTTGTTGGTGAGGGAAGGCATGTAAGAAATAGTACCCAATATGAGCAACAAAAAACATCTCAATCAATCAAAGGTTTTCACAGAGTTTCAAACTGTAGCTCTCTGTTTGTCTAGTGAATTTCCTTACCTAAAGAGCTTCACTTCTGTAGATACATGTAACTTCAAAAAACATTTTTTAATGAAATTAATTCACATATTTTTTATTTTTATTCAGTGTGGGACTCAAAACCAACAAAGTAAATTCCTATGTTGTCTGTGCTGTAAGTCGGGACCAATAACAGGAATGTTAAAACTGGACAGAGTGGGATATGTTCCTGGAGAAGCAATAACCTTCAACGCGGAAATACAAAACATGACCAGCAGAGTCTGTGGAACTCATGTCAAGCTATACATGGTAGGTGAAATACTGTTAAACTGACTGATTTTAACCTTTTTTTTTTGGGGGGGGGGGGGGTAATTGTTCCTTCTTTTTCAACAGTTTATAAAATACCTCCATCTGAAGGAGAGGGGGATACATGTACTGTTTTACCTTTTTGTGTCAGGGAGGGTGTGTGTGAGTCTGTCTCTCGGTCCTTTTCAAATGTCAGTCAAGGTTTTCTCAGCAATTACTCAATGCAGATGCTTTAAATTTTAGACCATTCTTTGTTTAGGCATGCAATATGGTGGCATTCATTTTTGTAAATCAATTTCTCGTTTATCTGTTCCTCTATCCATACCAAATTCTCCCTGCAGTTTTCTCTGCAACTACTTATTGCTTTTAGCACACTCATTGTTTTGGCATGCCATATGGTATGATTTATATTTAAATGAATCTGATGTCATCTTCCTTTTTTCTGTGCCTTTATCCATTCTAACTTTCTGTCACAGTTACCCCTACATTTCTATCCATTGGGGGCATTTGTGTTATACTCATTTTGTTTCTCTTTATGTACTTCTGATCAGTATTAATGATGTTTTTGATTAAATTTTTATTGTTTGATCTTGCCTTTGATTATACATATTTTTAGACCACTGTGTTTCATGCTACAACAAAATCCAAAACTACAACTTCTGAGGTAGCAAGAGTAGTCCACCAAGACATTCAGCCCGGGGAAACAGAAACCTGGTCAGGAGACAGGCTGGTTATACCCCCCTTACCTCCGTCATTCCTGGTGGGATGTCAGATTATCGACATCAATTACTACTTTGAGGTATTATGAAGTGATAATAAATAGTTTTTTAGGAAAAATAGTGTAAGCATGATGTTTTAATTAAATTGCTTTTTGGGAGTGAGCAAACAGTTCATTTTCTAAATGACATCAAGCATGAAGGTTCTTGATTTTTGGTAGATCAAAATTATTATCCTTTCACAAAGGAGTTGGAGATGAATTAGTTACTTTCATCAATATTAGTTACCAATAATATTTCTTCTGTTTTGCTTGCATTACACTTACTCAAACACACACAAAACACTGCATGTTGTCATATTACCTCCAACTTCCTTTTGGGGGGATAATTTTTCGATTAACAGAATAATTAATGAATCATATTATGATGTTGTAATATTACTTATGTACTTACATTGTACATGTAAATTCTTTATTTTGATTCAGTTGATTGTTGACCCCTCTGGGCCTGCCATAGACCTGCATGTGCCTTTATTGATCATCATTGGTACAATACCCCTTCGGACAGTTGTTCAACAGTATCAAGCACAGTATGGAATCTCTAGTCCTGCACAACCAGCATTACCTGCCCCTGGCCCAGCACCCTCTGCTCCCCCAGTAGGAGGCGCTTCAATAATGTCAGATTTGCGTGAGTATATTTGAAAAAGACATGGAAGCAAATCTAATTCTATGCATGTTTTTATTTTATATTTTATTTTTAGAAATAATGCAACTTTAGAAACTTATGCTTATATATGCTATAAAAGGCATTATTCAAAACACAAAAGCTGGTGAATAGACTGACCTATTGATCAATTTGATGAAAATATCAAGTTTATGCATTTTAATTGAAGATTTAAGTCACTCAGATGGCCTTTTGCTATCCGTTTTTGTCTATTGCCCTGTATTGTTTGTCATTCCTTAACATTTAAACATTTTCAGCTTCTTCTCCCAAGGTGCAAAACCAATACCAAGAAATTTTGGTGTAAAGCGTCTACACAAAGTATATGTATGAGTAAAAGGGAACATTTTGAATTTTATGGTCCCTGGGGTCTGAGGCTAAAATCTTCAAAAGTAATGACATGTTTAAAAAATTCTTCTTCTTTACTCCTTCAGACATCAAGAAATTGAACTGTTTTTCATCATGACAAAAAGCATTAAGTCATTTACCATAATTTTGAAATTTATTGTCTTAGGATAAAGAACTTATGTTTAAGGGAGGAATTTTTTTGTCATATATTGAAAATGCAAGTGTTTTATTTTGGTAATAAGCAGATACATTTAGTGTTTGGGAGGGGGTGTTTTGATTACAGTATATAGTGAAGAATGTTTTTAAAAATCTTCTTTGATCATAATTAGCAAGCAAACTTGTACAAGTAATACAAACAGTAATTTCATAGTTTTAAGGACCAGGTAGGCTTGTAAAGAATGGATAAATAAAAGCGAGACAAAATATTTTACCTTTGTACAATAAATGTTCTACCATGACAAAGAGAGGCCAATTAATTGTGAGGGAATAAGATGATTTTACTATTGGTGTTCATTTGTCTTTCTTAAGCTCATTCGAGCCAAAAGCTCAAGTTAGCTTTTCTGATCAAAATTTGTACATCCTCTGTTAAGTTGATGAGTAAAGTTTATACAATTTCATATTCTTCTCCAGAACCACTTGTTCAGTTTTAACCAAATGTGGCACAGAGTATCTTTTCAAAAGTTTTGGTTAAGGGGATTCAAAATTATTTAAATGAAGGACCTAAGACACCCTCTTCAAAGTCAAGATTGGACCACTTAAAAATCTTCTCCTCATGAATCATTGGGCCAGAAAAGATTAAACTTATATGAATGCCTCCTGAATTATTGTTTATTCAAGTTTGTTCAAATCTTTGTTTTGTTTTTTTGTTGTTTGTTTACATAACCATTGTTACACAATATGGGGGCAAGTACAGGCAAGTAAATATTTGTACTAAAATACTGGTACGTGTTACCAAACACTATACCGATTATTTTGTTGACCTCTGATAATCTCATTTTTTTTTGGCTTTTGGACACCATATTAATGTTATCTTTCAGTTTATTTAAACAATAAAATGCTTTCTTTGTTTGTTATTACTGGAATTAATGGAAGCAGCTGTTGCAGAAAAAATACATAACCCGCATAAGTGGGTTATGTAAAATTTTTTCTGCAATAGCTGTGACCGTTAATTCCAGTAATAACAAACAAAGATATTTTATTGTTTATACTTATATTTGTTTAAATAATCATTTAAAGTAGGATTAAAAAGATTAATTATAGTATTAATGATGCGAATGTCTTAAATTTATACGTTTCATTGATGGAACAGCCACTGATCAAGAAATCTGTACAGATGACATGCCTGATGTAGTTCATGCAGTGATTAACGCAATGGGTTTTCTTAAGAAATAAAGGAGAAAATATTCAGTGGATGTAAATATATATTGTTTTATCTCATACCCTTTAGTGTTGTGATATACTAAGGTGACTGTTAAGGCCCTTTGGACCTCTTGTAAGAAAACATGACAGTCATATAGCGTATATGAATTTCATTATCCCCAAAAAGTAGCATTATGAAAGAAATGCTGTCCAAAAGGTTCTGTCAAACAAACAGACAGGTACCCAATCTTTAACCATCATGATTATCTGATTTTTGATAACTTTTTTACAGCACCACCAAGCTACAATGAGTGCGTGTTTGGTAAAACTAACATCCGGGAAGAAGATGACTCGGAGCACACCAGAGGAGAGATGGACTACGCCCCAGCATACACGTATTATGACTGGTCCAAACAATCACAATTTAAGTAATTGTGTTCTTTGTACTACAATGGACCTTCAGATATCCGGACGCCAGATATCCGGATGCTTCAGTATCCGGACGACTTTTCATCGGAACAAAATTTTTTAATGTTACATTGTCTTGTTTAATTAGTAATTCAGGTATCCGGACGCTTCACATATCCGGACAAATTGACAAGGAACCAAAGCATCCGGATAAATGAGGCTCCACTGTACATGCATAATATTAATACAATTTACATGTATTAACTATTAATATTGACATCATGACTTGTGTTCTCTCAAGCACTGTATTGCTCATTTCTTTAGCGGTTGTAAAATTTGGCATTTTGTTCACTCAAAGGTATACCAATGATTTTTGGCAAAACTTTTTTTGGCAGACAGAGTTCCAGTACATTGCAAAAGAGTGGAATTTCATCTTTTAGATAAGTTTTAGTGTACTGTGTAATATATGTTTGAATACTGATTTACACAGAAGTTTGAGTAAATACAATATCAGATTAATTTTTATTGCTTATTCAACAGTCTCATCAGAGTTATTTAAGGATTTTTTATCAGTATTGATAATGAAGAGGGCAAATCTGGCAATTAAAATTTTAGTGGTTTACTACAAAACCTCTAAAGGTAAGCCAAAGGTAGCAGTCTCTGCTAAAAATGCCCCTTATACAGTATAATTTTTTTTCATTATTTATTTAAGACTGGTTTTAAACCTTAGAGTGTTAGTTTTTTAGCCTTTGTTCTAATGTAACCAAATCAATATTAGTTGTTGTTGTTCATGTATGCTGTTTAATTTAATATGTACTCTTTCTTACCTGATTTCATTATTCATCAGAAAAGGAGACATTTAATTCATAATTTTTAGATGACATATTTTCAACAATTAATAATAGGTAATCACTATAATTTATACCTCATGCAGAGAAGACACAAAAGTTCGTCATATTTCTTTAGGTACTACCGGGTAATAATCAAGGGCTATGTAAATTTTACCTTTAATTATTTTCATATACCTTTCCATATTCATTAATAAATTTGCATGTTAACATATATTTATCAATTTGACTCAGGTGCAAGAATATGTACAGCTGTAGATCACCAAATTTTTGCGACACCATTTTTTGCAAGAAAGTCGCAAGGTACATACATGTATTTATAAGGGTTATGTAGTGAGGAACATTTTTTCCTCCACAAATTCTGGTCATTGTTGTAAGTATAAATCTTCATATTAAATACATGTATATGAGACAATGAATTTTTTCAGTGGTTTAATTTACCAGTAATGTACATGAAAATAAATACCTTGCAAAAATAAAGTGATTTAAAGTGTGCATTGCATACTTTAAATCACTTTTTATTTTTGCAAGATCTTTAATTACCTGGTAGCATCTGAATGTAGTTAATAACTAAAATAGATTTTTTGATGATTGGTATCCAGCTATTTTCTTGTCAGCTTAATTATATCACCCCGAATGAAGTCGGGGACGACATATTGCGATTGTATGCATGTTTTTGTTCTCCAGGCCGTTTCTCGGAGATGGCTGGGACAATATTCCTGAAACTTTCCTCAAAGGATGATCACTGGTTGTAGTTGTGTTGTGTGGTCATTCAGTTTCAAAATGGCTACCGTTGCCATGGAAACCTGCAAACAGCGACGACTTTTGTCCGCGAGTGTTCTCTCTTGTCCCTTGAACATTCATCATGAAACTTTTTATTTTAGTGATTAGTTATTGTAGTTGTGCGATTTGCATTTAAAATTTTCAAATAATCGATTATTGCCATGGAAACCAGGGGAAAGTGAAAATTCTTGAACTTTGATTTTTAAATCAAAGTACTGAAAGGACTGATGGTTGTCCAAGCTTAGCTAATGGGTATTGTTTTATTGATACAAAAAATGAAAGTCTTGTCCAGTTCGGGGCGACATACGCTATTGCTTGCAATTATAGCAGACTTTCTAGTTTTGTCTTGCAATCCATACATGTAAGAACATCAAAAATAGCCAATTAAGTAATGATATATACACTGTATCAAACATATATTTATAGTGGTAATGACATTTGTAAAATTAAAATTTTCAGTTGGTAAAAAAAAAGATAATCTATTTTTAATTCAGAATGGGGAATTTCATGACTCCCTTTTTAGAAAACTGAGAGCCTCTTCTACTCAGGAGATGTTATATTGCCTTTACATGTATATGTTGTCAAGACTTTCTTTTTTACAAAATAATAACGGGTATATTTTATTAAGATTCCATTTATTGTCATGATTATCCTTCTGTGTTGTATTTATCAAAAATTTAATTAACAAGTAATGATCAATAAATCCAAAATGTTTACTTTTATATATTTTCTTTTTGAAAACAATATATGTTACTTTATGAATACTGTGAAATCACTTTTCATGGGGGTTAATTTTCATTGTTTTGGGAGCATGGATTAGAAACCCACAAACTACTTACTAGTACCTTCACAAAATTTTAAACTCCATATGTATTAATTACTACTAAACATTCTCCAGCCACAAAGTCAAGTACCCACAAACCCAATATTTTTTCCTCCAACCTAAAAAATTTGTCCCCATGAAAATACATGATTTTACAGTATTTAACAGCAGCTGAAACTGAGAACACTTAGTGTGTGGGTGCTGGGGTTTGTTTCATTATGTTTTACAACAGTTAGAACAGGTTCTTTTCCATTAGGATGATCCAACACACATTAAAAGTAAGAACTGGGCTTAAACAAATCAAAATGGAAATTCCAAAATCCCTCTCTCTCTGTGTATATTTATATATATATCTTTTGAGTCTAAGGCTCAACCGGAAGAACAGGCCTGTAATTGAGAACTTGAGGTAGTCCCTCATTTTTATGAGAAAAGTCTTGCATAGTTGTTTTACATGTAATTTGTAGTCAACCCCAGGCCCTAGGATCATGAAACAAACTTAGACTTTAGTCAAATTTTCTATCACCTATAAAATATTCATTAAGGATACACCAAAGGTTTCCAAAGGGCAAAATTTAATTTGCTTGTAATTCTTTTATTAACAAAGATAACATATTAAAAGTATATATCATTTGAAAGCTTGTTTAATTTACTATTTATTGATCCTAATTTAAATTTTCATTTTTATCTTATTAAAAAATTATTAATATTTTAATGTAATATTAGTGCATTTATATTTTATAAATCAACTTTTTTGTATTCCACCTCTCAAAGTCAAAATTTTGCCTCAATGTAGATTAAAGATTGAACTTTAAAACCGTATCTCAAATTTTTTATAAATCTTCTTATTCAAAAGTTACATCCATTTGTCTTTCAATGTTACCAGTTTATTAGCCCAATTCTACATTTCCACCAATAATTCAAGAACTGAGCAAGATATCAAAAATCTGAGATACAGTTTTGTGAACACACATTCTGGCCAATTTTCAGAGAAATTGGTCAATAAATAAGGGAGCTGAATCCTTTGAAATAATACCACCAACTGTCTGATCTAACTTTACAGTAGAGGGCAAAAACCCATTACACAACAAAGTCTGCCAAAGCTAGAAATATATGACGCCTTGGAGATTCAGCTTTGGATACCTGTCACTATCCATATTTCCTATGCATATTCACAAGAATGGGAGGTTCTTTTCTTTATTTAGGTGCTTTTAATGAAGTAAAATAGGTTCAATTCTGAATCGGAAAGATTTCCCGGCAAAATGGCAAGAGCTAAGCTCCACCTCCTATTTCATGGTCATTAGTGACCTGTTAGATCTCCTTCCCTAAATCTAGAGTCCCTGTAGTTTAATTACTGATAACCTCTGTGTGGCTAGTGAAGAATTTCCCAAATGGTCACAATGATTTATTGCTCCTTTCAGAAGCAGGCAGTTACAGACCAAATCAGAAGCTTCAATAACGGCACATTCACATGTGTTAGTGTTTATGTTTGATTATAGTTAAATAATTAGAAAACCATTTAATAATCAGCAAGAATTTTTCATGCATTAGAAAGCAGTGATTAGCATTGTTTTCTTAGCCAAAAAATCTCAAAATTGACAAAAATCTTGAAAAAAGCCTTTGATGTATCCTTAATTGAGGAATTTAATTGGAAATTCGCAGTTAACAACTCTTTTGAGAAGCAAGATTAAATAAAGTGCCCCGCCACAGCATGATACGCCCGTCAAATATTGTTCAATAATCATAAATTGGTTAGGATGCAAGAAAATCAGGTAGCCTTGATTAACAGATTGACACAGATTTCAATTATCTATTTTCCATTTCTTATTAGGCCAAACAAAAAAATAACTTTGTTTACTGTTACATGCTGAAATAAAATAGGGTCGGTAGGTAGGAATTTTTTTTTATTTTATTGAATTTTTTTATACACAAAATTAATTCACATGAATTGGTTGAATTACAAAACAGTTTTCCCATTTTATGGTGCCTTAATTACTGTTGTTTGGGCTTGTAATATGGGTGTGAACAATATAATCTTTCTTGCAAACTGCCTTACAACTCAGGGGTGTGCAATTACAAAAAAATTACGTACTAGCCCACAGGCTTGTAACAGCCTCATCAGCAGTAAAGTTACTAGCCCGAAGTGAAAAGTGACCAGTCCAAATATAGGGGCAAAAAATTGTAAAAACTAATATTGTAAAAACTTCATTGTTGAGAAAGTCAGGGTCCTATGCCATTCCTTTTAAAGTTGAAGTTTAAAACTTTTAACAGGTCCAGCACAATGTCTTGATTAAGCTATATGGCTTTATAAAGCTATATATCTTAATAAAGCTATTAAAAATAGCTTTATTAAGCTATTTGGAATGTGAAATATTGAAAAAAAATTCTTAAAAATAAAAACGAGAGAGTCGCATTATGAGTACTTGTCAACAAGTTCACCCGTGCATAAAAAATACTCACTCACTCAAATCAAAGTATAAAAGCGATGCGTGTGGGGCGCTGACCTTAATAAAAAGTTTGTTGTTGACACTGAAATAGTCCAGATTATGGGATTGAAGTGTTTCTGTGATAAAAATGATGAAAACTAACCCTCTGGAACATCAGTAGTTCAATTCCATCCTGGGCGCTCTACACCGGATATGCTGTCTACAACGTAGTTGCAGAAGAAACACGAATAACGGTAATTTATCCGTCATCTTCGTATAAAGTATGGAACCTCATTATCAATATAAATACGTCAAATGAATCGTTTGTATGAAAGTTAAACTAGTAATCAATAAGGGATAATTTTCATTTTAGAAGCGGAATAAAACATTTGTATACTAGAAATATATTATGTTAGTGCATAAATGACAGAAAATGCATAATTTATATAACATATTATTTTATCTCAAGGGAAGGGGGGGTGAGGGTTGGAGGTGTGTTACAACGCGAAATGTAATAACAATGCGGAATGTAATAAACCTTAATTATTAAATTTTGCGTTATTACATTTTCCGTCGATATCAACGCAAAATGTAATAACAAAACATTTAATAACACAGTTATTGGATTGTTACATATTGCGTTGTTATATTTTGCGTCGAGATTGAGCAAAAGGCAAAAATGCAAAATGTAATAACACTTTTTTTTTTCGTCAGCCAGCAGATTTAGTACAATTTTCAATAGTGTAGTGAACGATGAAAATAAAATAAAACAAAATAAAGATATATGCAATTTCTTTCAATTATTAAATTTTATAATATATTGCTTTAATTAGCTACATGTATTTAAAATCAGTTTAATAAATGTTTTAAAATCATAGGTATTGCAAATTAGAAACGTGCATCTGTGGGCAGGGTAGTTTGGGGTATTAACCAGTGTGCTTTTGTTTTTTATAGACAAATGCAATGAATTTTTTTTAAAAGGCTATTTATTTGTACTGGCAGGAGTAAATTATGCACTACGGGAAGGAATTTATTGAAAATGATATCAAACTGTTCAATGCAAATCAACAGCATTGCAAACAAGCAAAAACAAAATTCTCTCTTTCTTTCCATCCAATAATAAAATGGATTGTTTCTGCGTGTCCACAGAAATACAGTAATGAATATACAAAGTAAAAACTCCATCCTATCCCTGACCGGTTCATTTTTCGTATTCCCACTTTTTGAAAATCAGGTACGAAAAGTTAAGATTTCAAATGGGAATAGGTTTAATTTTTGTGTTAAAAAAATAATTGTTATTTTGTCAAATCCATATTTTTGAAGGAAATAAATAATATTTCTCACAAATTTCTGTCTTAAAATCTAAAAAAAAATACAGGTGAATCTAAGAGGGAATGTAATTAGTATAATTATATCGTTAAAACGAATTAACTATCTAAACGTCTATTGTTATTTGCAAGGCTTTTGCAAGTGGGAATAAGTGGAATTGAGATTTTTAAAAAAATTGGGAATTGAATAAAATATGTATTATTGGTTAGAAATTTAATAACACTATCAAAAATATGCCAATCAAAGTTAAATTAATTCTGTATAATTAAGTACATTGTATTCAATATAAATAAAATAAGAGTCATTAAAAGGATACATTTTGCATTGATCTAGACGCAAAATGTAATAACTCAAAATGTTACAATCCAGATTTATTACATTTTGCGCTGTAACAGAGGTGTTTGCAACTGGTATTGGTACAAAATATTTAATTATTTTTTTAGATAACAATGCCAGTTTGTAGCTGTAAAGAACATTCCAACTTTGCAAAAGATGTACCTAATAAAATATACAGACTCTCCAGCAAAAAATTCAAAACATCAGTTGTTGAAGGTCTTGTTAAAAATGGTCATCTGTGCAAAAGGGCAGTATATTTATGCACAGCATGTGCTGCTTACAGCGAGAAATGTTTAATTTCCAACGAAAAAGACGTAGAAAACAAACTGGTTGATCAAGTTATTGATTTAATTAAAAGCAACAACATCTCTGATGAGAATGTGATTAAAATTACAGAAGCTATTGGCAGTAGGGAAAGCAGAAAGATGAAAGACGATTTTAATGAAAACATTTTTACCCAATACAAAAATGTAGATTTTTTAACATCTGCCACTATTGATACGTGGATATGTGAAAGAAACAATGTCATCTCGTCTTTGTTATTGTCACTTTGTGGGAAAAAAATGTGTGACTTATCATCCACAGAAAAAACAAAACTTATATTTGCTATCGAACATTTGTACTCTCTCATATCTGCCAACATAATCATGCCATTTTCTTTTAGTTTGAATCTGTTAACATATTACATGTCAAACAGCAAAACAGTTTGCAACATGTATTCTTCTGCTCATCCCGCTGGGAGTTACTCTTCTGTTTTGAAATGGATAGAAGACCATGCAACAACTCCTATAAGCGTTCCATTTCAGCATGACTTGATAAGTTATTTTGATAACAATCAGGTTTTGGCAAGGAATTGGAGAGTGCGTTATGACGCCAAAGCTATTTTGAGCTATGTAACCACTGTTGTTCACTTTTTTCCCAATCCGACTACAGAGTTACAACTTGTGAACAATTTATCTCCCAGACATTGGTTTTATAACGTTAACATTTCTGACAAGTACAATGCTATTGTCGAATTCATCCATTCCTATGAAAATTTATTCAGATCATTACGTGAAAGTTTCATAGAAAGTAGGATAAGTTGTTTGTTACAACAACAACATCCAGGGCTGAATTGTACAGAGGACATCGTTTGTGACCTTTTGAAAAACAGGAACATGAAATTTTCAGATCACTCTAGAACACAGGTTGATGTATATTCGTTTTTACCACATTCACATACCAGTCCCCCAACTATTCAAATGGGAAATCCCATATCAGTCAACCCTTGTTCCTTTCAATCTGTTCAAGTTGTGTTAGAAAATTTAAAGTGCACTACTGGAATACCCGACCATAGACAGTGGAGTATAGTGGGATGTGATGGGCTCCCCTTCCTCCTGTCTCATAGAATTATTAAAGATAATCCACATCTTCAAGATTTACTCCTTCAGCCTGGACTGGGACATGTTGAAATAAATATGTCCAAAGGTACTATAGCTATAGCTGTCTTCTTATTATTATAAAATTGTTTACAAATTCAAGGAGCCTAAAAAATAAATCAAAGTATCTGTCTCTCTTTTCTTCAAATCCTTTGATTGCTCCCACTTTAATGCATGTTGAAATCAATATGTCCAAAGGCACTATCTATATCCATATATAATTCTATATATATATATTACAGCTGTCATAAAACTGTTATGGCAAGTGATAGGGTTAGATTTGGCTAAACTACTAGGCTACAGATCACCAAAAGCACTGCAGTCCTGCTTAGATGCTAATGATCATCACAAAGCCATGCAGTTTATTGAAATTCTTCTTTTCGGAACAGGTCTGTAAAAAAAATGACAACCATTTTAATAAATAGAAATGAAATCAATATATACATCTTATTTCTGTTTCAAACATAGCTTTAAATATAAGCATATCCTATTCCTAGGAGATGAATTATTGTTCCCCTACGTTTTTCATTGTTCGGAGAGGGAAATGGTACCCTCTGGAAAAGGGTTTTTCGACTGGTGTAAGGAAGTAAAGGATCCAAATTACATGTAAATAACTGAATATTATGAATTAATATGTCTATATAATAAAAGATTTTGTATTAATACACAGTTTACGTACATGTAATGCAGGTTCTTGCTGGAGTCCATATTTACCTATGCACTAGCAGTGTACATGTTTAGAGCCGGCATAAGGCGTAATAACAGTGACGTCATTATGGCCTCCAGACTGAAGTTTTTCCCTCTTTACTTTGGTGTGTCTAAAACAAACTACCAGCAAATCGAGCTATTAGACATCATCATGAGAGTATGTGCACCAACTGAAGTCCTCCAATTCATCCAGGAGCACGAGTCTTTCTCTCGTAAGACAGCATGCCCTAACCCCCAACTGCACAATAATGCCAAATGACGCACTTAAATACTAACTTTATTTCATGTCGATGTTGTAAGGCGATATTTGATTGGTAAATTTTCGTACACTTGATTTGATTGGGTAAAGAACTTTGCGTTTCGTTTTTTCCTCATATGCATATGACATATCATCAAGATGCATAAAATTATGGAGAAACTATGGACATTTTTAAATACAGTATCAATTATGAAGTTTTACCCAAAAATATTTGGTTACATGATATATAAATAAGAAATCCAGATTTAATCAAGGTTGTACGGGGATTTGTTCCAGTATTTATTCCATCCACCCTCAATATTTAAGGGCTAAAGGATGCATGCAATAAGACCCCTTTCTATTTTTTTATATTGAATCTTTTTTCATTCCTATCAATGAATGCAGGAAAATGATTAAAAATTTTCAATAAAATGAATATTTAGAATCTGGGAATGCGAGCAAAGGTGAGGGATGCGATTTTATATTGGAGGCGAAAAACAGACAGGCAAAGAGCTGGCTTCCCAGTGGCGCACCAAAGGAGAAGCATTGGATGCAATGTTGCAGAAATCTAGATAATCTCGAAGATGCAAGTATTTTGCAGACATTTTAATAAAATAAACATTAATAAAAGAAAGAAAACAATATAAAACAAAGTAGGAAGATAATTTTATTACAGAATTTTCTATCTATGGATAGGACATTTAAACTTTGTTTTCTTTAAAATGGCATTTGAAGAGAAATAAAACCCCATACACTGATCATGTACCCAATACCCACATCGGGCACGGTCACACCCAACCCAATGTCCACGTGTCTGTGTTGTCAAACATACATTACAAGTATCGGGCACTTTAGAAGTGATGCTTTCAGTTTGAGTGCATTTGCTTTTGTACACGGCTTTGTCGACCCTTCTCTTCTTGGCAGTCTTATTTGCAGATGATCTCTTTTCTCTTGATTCAGAGTTAGTACATGTATTAGGTGGGAGAAAGGTGGGTTGAGGAGATGGAAACGAAGGAGAGGGAGAGGAAAGAGAAAGTTGTGGGGAGGGTGTTTGTTCTCTGTTAGGAATTTCATGTACCTCCGCTCGTACTACAATGTTAGTTCTGATAGGTTGGGGTGATGGAAAAGAGGAGGTAAGGGGGGAAGTGGAGGAAGAGGAAGTGGGTAAATGAAAGGATGGATGTGAAAGAGGTTGTACTGATACAGACAGAGGGGATGCTGTAGAGGTAGTGGTTGTTGAAGAGGGAGGGAGTGCTGTAGAAGAAGGGGTTGCTGTAGAAGAAGGGGCTGCTGTAGATGAAGGGGTTGCTGTAGAAGAAAGGGGTGCTGTAGAGGGAGAGGTTGCAGTAGCGGAAATAGATGCATTATTTTTGTTAAAGGAAGACATCAAGTGTCGCAAGTCCTGGAAAACAAATCATATATACGAGTACATGTACATCTATATATCATCTTATCAATAAAGCATACACATAAAAAGGTCCTTATTTAAAAGTGTTTATATGTATATATATAAATATATATATATATATATATATATATATATATATATATATATATATATATATATATATATATATATATATATATTTTTTTTTTTTTTTACAAATTTCCATGATTATTTATACCTTTTCATAATAGGCGGAGGCATATACCGATCTTTTTCCGGATGAAGTTTTAATAATGAGAAGAATTTCACTCTTAGTCGTTTCGTGAAAGTTTTTTGCCTGCAATGGAAATTAAAAAAACACCTTATTTTCTTGCTTGTAAAGGAATTATTGGAAGTTGAAATGTATAGCTACAACCCTTCCTCTAAACGAAAATGGTTTCCTATTTAAAGTCCTAATTAGGTACATTTATACTTTGAAATAAGGATTTTAGATTGTCGTAATATTTAAACTACTCTTAAACATTAATCTGTTTTTACAGATTAAAAAGAACATCAAATCACAATTAAACATCAGAGACGGTATGTATATATCTTCTCTTCAGTTTTCTGAACATATTGCACTAGTCTAGCTTATCTAAAATGAAGCAAAAATCATTTTATTTTCATTTCAAACCATTAAATACAATTGATATATATTAAAGGTTAACCACATAACACTTAGCTGTCAGTTGATTGGGGGATCGTAAGTAATATGAAAGAGATATCTGCATGTATTTACCGGGTGTTGCTAAAACGCGGAACGGAAAACGGAACGGAAAGCGGAACGGATTTAACGGAAAATTTTTGTCAAACAAATAACATAGATTCGATATAAATCAGATCAAAAAGAGCAATATTCCTGTTGTAAAAATCATTTCTAATAAAAATTTATTGTAAACTATTATATATTCATGAGTCATACACACCCTCCGTGGAAAAAATGGTACGAAAAGAAATTTGCCCCCCCCCCTTCCATGAAATAGGATTTTCGTGTTTGGGCAAAGGACATATCCCCCTTTTTTTTTGCTTGTCAAATTTGTTGTATGTTGGAAATTTTTTACTGACCCCCTCACCACCCCCTCTTTCTTATTGTTTCCAATGTCAATGTCTGTAAAGACAAAATAACTACTTATGATATTCAGATTGTGCATGCTGTGTTGAATTCGCGAATCATGAAAGGGGGAGTGGCAGTTTAGGGGCCCACAGCCACATTAAAAATTTATTTTTAAACCTTTTGTATATTTTGAACACAAAAAGGGGGCAGACCTATTACAGCTTCTCAGACCTTTCCGATGAGTGGGAAAACAAACTCATTTTTACGGGGTCATTCATATACACCCCCCCAAACATACACACATATGTACCGCAAACAAACATAATTTAACTTCACTGAATGCTAAGATTCTGCATTTTATCTACCATATGAAAGTTTTCCAACTTTGTCTATCCAGAATTTAAATATATAGAAAGCTACTTTATTTTGAATAAAATTTTAACAACCAGTGTGTATAAGAGATGTTTATTCGAGCTTAGCGTAAAGGTTTGCTCTAAACGTAATCTTAATTAATTTTTTTTTTTACATTTTATTTCTCTTACCATGGTTCATCTAGATATCAAATATTAGCCCCCCCCCCCCCCCCAGTCATAACCTTTTCACTACGGAAATGTTCGTTCAAGTTGATTGACATCCTCACAATTTTTGTGAATGTAATTAATGTATATGTTAAGAGTGTAAAAAATATAGTACTGAAAGATGTTGGAGTTATAACTTATCCCCACCCCCCGAATCAAAAAATTGTTTTCTTTTTGTGTTTTATCCCTATCCCCCCTCCCGAATCAAACAATTGTCTTCTTTTTGTGTTTTTGCTTGTCAAATACTTTTCAAGTTCGTTTACCACCCCCTTTTTTAAATTCGATTCTAGGTGAATGCTATGTTAGCGATTTTCGTAAATAGAGACTGAGCATGACAAAATAAACTTGTATTTCATAGTGGGGGTTGAATATGTACAAGATGTATCGTTTATGATAAAATTCGTGTATTTTAAGTGATTTAATCCAAAATAATATGTTCCGTTTTCCGTTCCGTTCCGCTTTCCGTTCCGTTTTCCGTTCCGCGTTTTAGCAACACCCGTATTTACCATTCACAGAGGAATGGAGGAAATTCGGATTAGGAAAAAACGATCGTATTTTGAAGTAAATAAGTGAGGTAGTACTGCAAAATGGATAAGATTAAAGTGATTTAAGAACAGTTGGAGCATGCTGCCTGGAAAATTTTCATTAGTTGGAAATTAAATGGGAAAAAAATAAGTGAAAATACTGTTTGTGTTTCTCATGTATTACATGCATAATTTTAATTATTACTACCCCAAAAAACGGTAGCACCGGGCGTCAGGCGATGCTAGTTGCACACCCCTGCAACTGTCATGCAATGGTAAGCAAATTGCAACGAAATCGATGATGTAGAAATCGAACTCACTGGTTTGTTTCTGTACTTTCAATTTCGATTTCAAAGATGAATATAAAAGTTAAACTGAACCGGCCAGTAACTTCCGGATTTTTACGACGAAAAAAAAAAGTTTGGGTCGGCGATTAAAATTAGGGTCGGTTGGGTAACCGTAAACAAACATATTTTTTTGTTACGCCTTATACATCTCTAAGAGACTTACAGTGTAGGGATTGATTATAACAAATAATACTAGTGAGACATGACTGCAATTTGTCGCAAATATATAAAAATTGAAATATGTTTTTTTTTCAATTAACACATGTATAATTAGTTTTAATCATATTGTACAATACTAATTTAGTTTTAATCATACACTAAAACATCAATTTGTTTTAATTAATTACACCAATTGAAAGATCTTTATCTGGACTAGCCATCAAGAACTCTTAATTAACACAACTATGAGGCCATTTCTTTTTGCCCAACTCCCAAGAGATAAATTAAGATAGCATCTGCACCAGATCTAGAGATGCTCTTAGCTCCTGACAATAAACTCATTAATTTCTCTCTAATTTGACATGCAAATTTCTGCTATCAAAATTCTTCTTGACCAGTGCTTGATAATTAAACCCATGGGACAAACTGAATTCCTCTCAAAGCATAAACATTTGTTATAGATAACTGTAAAGTATATAATGAAAAAATAAGTTTTTACTTAATTTAACATTTTTTAATAAGGATACAACTATATTTTTACATTTTTTAGGATTATGAAATTTAGAATTTAAAAGACAGTTTTTCAAAAAATTCATTTTAATTATAGGTCACAGTGACCTTGAAATAGGCCGTGACACACCTTCTACTTTTGATGTATACTTTTGCCAAGTTTGAAAGCTCTAGGTCTAATAGTTTTCTAGTTATGAGCCGGACAGGATTTTTTCCATATTTTGCTATAGCATCTTTGTTGCGAATATATAAAAATTGAAATATAATTTTTTTTTTCAAATGAACACATATATAATTAGTTTTAATCATATTATACAATATTAATTGAGTTTTAATCACACACTAAAACATCAATTTGTTTTAATTTCATTACACCTATTGAAACATCTTTATCTGGACTAGCCATCATGAACTCTTAATTAGCACAAGCAACTATGAGGCCATTTCTTTTTGCCCAACTCCCAAGAGATAAATTAAGATAGCATCTGCACCAGATCTAGAGATGCTCTTAGCTCCTGACAATAAACTCATTAATTTCTCTCTAATTTGACATGCAAATTTCTGCTATCAAAATTCTTCTTGACCAGTGCTTGATAATTAAACCCATGGGACAAACTGAATTCCTCTCAAAGCATAAACATTTGTTACAGATTGCTGTAAAGTATATAATGAAAAAACAAGTTTTACTTAATTTAACAGTTTTTAATAAGCATATAACTATATTTTTACATTTTTTAGGATTATGAAATTTAGAATTTAAAAGACTTAGTTTTTTAAAAAAATTCAATATAATTAAAGGTCACAGTGACCTTGAAATAGGCCGCGACACACCTTCTACTTTAGATGTATACTTTTGCCAAGTTTGAAAGCTCTAGGTCTAATACTTTTCTAGTTATGAGCCGGACAGGATTTTTCCATATTTGGCTATAGCATCTTTATTAAAGGTCAGAGTGACCTACTTTTTGTGCGCGACACACCGTCTACCCAAGAAGTATAAGTTGACAAAGTTTGATTATCCTAGGCCTAATAGTATTCAAGTTATGAGGCGGACAGGAATGGACAGACGGACGGACGGACGGACACGAAGCCTATAACATAATACGTCCCGTCTTAAGACGGGCGTATAAAAATATTTTAATCTTGGTCTTCTCCACCTTTACAACATCTAATAATAAAATAAAGATTTTTACTTAAGCTTAAGATGTTTTATGATCCCAGGACCAGGTGACGCAGTTGTTAAAGCTATTGTATAAGAGTTGCAGGATTGATCCTCAACTTGCTGGTTCAAATCCCACTGTAGGATCTGATTTAGAGGATTCCTCACTGATCAGAGGCCCTATGTGCCAATTACACGTCAAGATCAAGGGGGTGGCATCTCATTACGAGTGAAAATTTTCAAATTTCAAAAATTTTTACAACTACTTACAATAGTGAATTATTTTATTCATGATTTTGTTTTCAGTTGTTCATGTTTTAACATTTACACTCTTACTGATATCATTTTATATATTAAATTATGATTAATAAAATATATAAGGTCTGAGACAATGAATCAAAAGTAATCTGCATAATTGCAGTATTACAAATTACATGTATACATTTAAAAAAAATGACATAACAACAAGGAAAAACTATGATTCCAATCTAATAATTTTCCCTAAAAAGTTATAAAGAAAAGATTTTTAAAATGATATGTCATCTATTCTCTTCTCTGGTGTGGGGGGTATATTTGTACTTTGACCATAAATATAAAACTGGTATCCTTTACCAAAGCGGTATCTCTGTAAATATCAAGTTGCAGTTTTATAACTAACTGTTTCTAAAAAGGAAATAAATAATGTATAAAACAGAAACAATTACAGTTAGTCTTGTTATTTTATATCAATCTGTTCCCTTAACTCAGAAAGATTTAATTTATCATCATGAATAATCTAGAGTTAGTGGACAGCTAAAAATTCCTCAAGGTAAGGTGGGATGAGACCTTGATAATCGATTCCATTGCTGCACACACACCTGGCAGCAATACACTTCAGAGAGAGGTGATCAGATGCCCTCAAAATTCCTGCATCCTCTTCCCTCTGTGCACAGTCAATTGCAGTTTTTCTCTCATTATTGCAAATGTCAAGATGAGCATTATTGTCAATTAGAATATTCATGGTATTGTGAACTTTCCTTGTATCAACAACTGAGTTCTGAGATACTAAAGCATGCAAGGGGGTGTTTCCCCTTGAGTCCTGTGCGTTCACTCTTGCTCCACATTTAATTAAAAGGTGAGCAACTTGACTGTCTGGAAATGACACAACATCGTTAACATGGAAATCATCCACATATGTAGAACCATCAACAGCCATATGCAGAGGTGTATAGTTATTTTTTAAGAAAGGATTTAATTTAAGAAAATGATACACAAGAGGGTACAGTCCCTCTAACTCTGAAGGACTGTGTTTGGTTTTTAAAATAATGACAAGGAGATATAAACAAGTATGGATATTAGTTTGATGTATCTCAATCAGGGAGTCTCCATCATCTTCACAGTTTGTTATTCTCTCTTTATCATTGGTTAGTTCTGCCATGGCATACTTGAACACTTCTTGGACACTGGAAAAGTTCACTTCTTCTTCTATGTGAAGCATTTGTGAAAATACTTGAGCAAATCTCAATAAATCCTTGGCGATGGATCTTTTATTTGTATGTCTCAATTTCATTGCATGCAGCCAAAGTAAGATACATCGGTCAAATCGCTTGTTATCAGCAAATACTGCACCTCGAAATATGATTGGATGAGGAACATCTGGGTTGTCAGGCCCAAGGATTCTCTCTCTGATTGCAAGTGATTCCATGTGCAGTGCTTCAAAATCATATTTGATAGCATTAAGTTCACCAAGTGTTTTGCATTCAATCCTACTGTTGTATGCATCTACACATGGATAGTCCCCTTTCGTAATAATATTGTCAGGATCACTGTATCTCAAATGCATAGCTTCACGCAGGTATAGAAATGCTTTCATTACATCATAATGTTCTTTATCGTTTGCAAATGAGGCACCAAGCAATTCAAAAGCATTAATCTTTTCTTCTTTGGTTTCAACTTTGGTGGCAAGAAATTCTACAAGAGCAGATTGTCCACATTCTGCAGCCACAAGTATTGGAGTCATTCTGTAGTCGTTAGGAATTTGTTTTCCATTAAATCTGACTAAATCTTGTACTACCTCGATATGTCCACATTCAGCAGCAAAATGCATTGCGGTGGCACCACAGTGCGCAGTTGAATCAGGGTTTGCTCCTTTTTCAAGTAAATACCGCACAACTTCGCTATGTCCTTTGTAACTTGTTATCATGAGACATGTATTATTATATTTGTTCGGTATAGAAATGTCAGCACCATTTTCAACTAAACACTGGACAACATCAAGTCGACCGTCGAAACACGCCGCACGAAGTGGTGTCGAATTCGTTTTCGTGGCATGATTGACATCTGCACCGTGTTCTAGCAAGAGCTTTACGATTCCAAGATGCCCAGCGCCTGCCGCGCACCATAGCGCAGTTGCGCCTTCTAACACAAATCCATCAAACTTTACAGTTCCTGTCTGTTCGAGATTTATTTTAAATTTTGAAAGTAATACTGAAACAACTTTCTCTTCTCCGTTTCTAGACGCAATGATAACGGGTGTTGTTATTTGTCCATTTTCACTCGTGTGGGAATGAAGCACTTCATCTACCAGTTCTTGATTAAGATTCCATAACACAGCAAATAAACTAATTGCTCTTCCATCTCTTGCAGCGGCATAGACTTTCTGTTTTAGTACATTTTTATCTTCTACCGAGTTTTCCTGCGAAGACATTCTCAAACCGGAAGCTTTGGGCACCCACCATTTGTTTGAAGCAGCTCGTACATAAATTAAGTCGAATAAATGGCCTTGAATAAATGCATACTGTAAAAATAAATAATTAAGTTAATTTAAGCATTGATTTATGATAAAATTTTGATAAAATTCATGAAAAATAAATTCTTTTAGGAAGAGCTAGATTATACTCATCAGATAGTGTCCTGACTCCTCTCCACACCAGTCACATCAACCCTTTATTGTCTAAGGGAGGTAACCCAAAGATAACAGGGAATCTGCTTGCTGAAGTTATTATACCCCCCGCTTGAAAAGTGAGAGGGTTTATATTAATCGGTATGTCTGTCCGTCCGTCTGCCTATCCGTCCGTCTGTTACGCTTTGGGGTACCCATCTCTTATCCGCAACTCCTCTCATACCACTGAAGGAAATTTAACGAAACTTTCACAGAATCTTTATTACATACTGCCATTGTGCACATCCTATTTTACTTTTTGATCTGATATATATTTTGGATTTTCCAGTGCAAAACATGGATACTGCCATTATATTCATATGGAAGGCGGGGGTATTATTTAGTGAGCTCATTGCTACCTCTAGTTTTGTTATATTTTATGTCTATTCACATAACTCAGTTCGGAGTCTTTGTCATGAATAAAAATTCGTAAATTGAGTAAATAATTCTCGAAATATCTTTCATAAAAATTCAAAATATATTTACATAGAATAAGAGGTGCTTACAATATAATATGTTATTTATTACATTTTTACCCGTGAAATACTGTAATTTATTCATTGAATAAAAATGATATCCTGTCACAGTGTGAAAGGATATCAAAATGATATCCTGTCACAGTGTGACGAATATCAGAAGTGCGGGAAAACTCTCGATTTCCATTCCCATAACGAAGATTGCTGTAAAAAATCTTCCTTGACCGAATATAAGATAAATGGAAATAAATAAACCATTCTGACAGCGAATAAAACTGTCAAAATTACCAAAAATATGTTGCTAAATCCATGTTTACAGTGTTTTCACCTCACTTAGCACACGTATGACGTCTTTTCAACCGCTCAACTATGACGTCACGAGCCTATGACTGTATTACAAAAAGACAGAGGCAAAGGAAAAATCAAAGAATTTTTTTTAAAAATGTAATAAACAGAAAATTTCAATGTTTTGTAGTTGAATATGGATTAAATTTATTTCACGTGTTGCACGTGAGACAAAATGGCATTTTTTCTTATATTTTCACTCGTGCTTCAAAGCACTCAAAAAATGAAAATATTTCAAATATATCCATTTCACGTGTTGCGTGAAATGCGCGCAAAATGACCATATTCAACTACAAAACATTGAATATCCTCTATTTATCTTATGAATGATTTTGAAAATAATTAGAAAAAGTATTTTGAGAATATAGTTGTAAGGGATAAAGAAATATCAGAGAAAAAGGTAAAGGAAAATTATCATATCATTCTACAGCCAGTTAGTAAGTCCAGAAAATCTTAACAAGCTTGGAATTCAACCTTTGTTCTTTTTTGACTCGGTTAAATTTACTGTATGTATGACTTGCACCACATGTGGATTTTGTAAAAATAAGTAGATAAATAAAAATAAATAAATAATCGCAAAGATTTCTTGAAGAAACGAATGGTTTATTGATGGCAAAATCAAACTCAATAACAATGGGGAAAAAAGGAGCACTATATCACTATTTAAAATTGATTTACTATTTTATAAATTCAGTATGAATCATATGGAATTATGGTGAATCAATGGCTTATATGAGTACTGGGAGTTATGCTCTTGTCAGGAGAAGTTTTATCCTCACAATATTAAATTCATATGTCAAACATTCCATGCGTCCCATAGCTAGGGATGGATCCTATTATCAACTTTACAGGAACGGTTAAGTGAAAAGCAGGCCCTGCAGGGTCTATCACCAACTGAAAAAGTAAGAAATGAAATCAACTCTACACGTAGACAAAAGAATTCAACTCTACACGTAGACAACTGAAAACTCTACACGTAGACAAATGAAATCAACTCTACACATAGACAAATGAAATCAACTCTACACGTAGACAAATGAAATCAACTCTACACGTAGACAAATGAAATCAACTCTACACGTAGACAAATGAAATCAACTCTACACGTAGACAAATGAAATCAACTTTACACGTAGACAAATGAATTTAAACAACTCTATCAACTCTACACGTAGACAAATGAATTTAAACTCTATACGTAGACAAATGAAATCAACTCTACACGTAAACAAATGAATTTAAACAACTCTACACGTAGACAAATGAAATCAACTCTACACATAGACAAATGAAATCAACTCTATACGTAGACAAATGAAATCAACTCTACACGTAAACAAATGAATTTAAATAACTCTACACGTAGACAAATGAATTTATACAACTCTACACGTAGACAAATAAAATCAACTCTACACGTAGACAAATGAAATCAACTCTACACATAGACAAATGAAATCAACTCTACACATAGACAAATGAAATCAACTCTACACGTAAACAAATAAATTCAACTCTACACGTAGACAAATGAATTCAATCTACATGTAGACAAATGAATTCAACTGAACAGGTAGACAAATCAAAGCAACTCTATACACGTAGACGAAAGAATTCAACTCTAAACGTAGACAACTGTAATCAACTCAACACGTGAAACCTCTCGCATTAAAGCACACTTCAATCGTAGGTATTCTTTTACATTTACAGTATTATCATAAAAGTAAAATGGAAATACCTTTAAGTAATGATCAATGGTGATAAGCTTGCATCCCTCGAGACAGGGCGGGGGTACGGGGGGTACATCAAACTCCTCGTCGTCCCACGTCTGGATTTCTCCGGGCATTACATCCTCATACTGAGATTTCTTAATCTCTGCGACACACACTTTCTTTTCTCCTTTGGCGTGGTAAACAGTCTCCTTAGATACAATATTAAAATACATTTACAGCAAATGATTTTTACATATTGTATTGTGAATAACAAAAATTAGTTACAAGTACGTGCCTTTCCCGTATTAGTGTTTTCAATTTAAAGTTTGCCATGAATTATGCAAAATTTCTTCGAGATAATGAATAAGTATTGTGACATTCTCATCTTGATATTCTGGTGGAACAAACCTTTAAAAAGACGACAGATACCCCACACACTCGACTAGAACGGTTCTGTATGGTAATATCAAATACCACGGGTTCCCCTGAGACGTAACCGGTTTTAGAAGTTCTGAGAATCCCCGTGATAGGTCCGGATTTACAGCACCAACAACAAACATACTTGAAATTCTGAATTTCTATTGATGCCTAACAAAAATAATATAATACTCATGGACTTTTATTAAAATTGGATATGGGCTAACACATTTTAATTACAAACTAATGCGCTGGATTTTCCCAAGTTAACAATTTTGTTACTACTAGGCGGAATCAGCTAAATCTAATTCATTTTTGCATTCGTTGGTCAGTGTTCGACAGGCTTTATGGCATTGACCAAATACTAGTAAATCAACAAAACTTGACTGTAAATACATATGTCAGTGCAAGATACATAATTATAATAAAATGTTGGTGATAAATGGTAAAAAAAAAAATACCCTTTCTGACTGGGTTCCCGTACACAAAAAATTTTCTGACCTTTGGGCCAAATTTTTGCCTTTGGCCTTATAGTTCAGGCAACTTTATTGTCAAAATTTAAATAATCTTTATTTATGGTTGGCAAACAAACTTGAGTTAACACAACCCTTTCACCCAAAATTAAATTTAACATGGTGTCTTATGTCCGACAAAATGTTGCCTTGGAACCCAATCAATAAGAACTTTTAATGAAAATATCACCCAAACCATGCCGTGTAGCCGTGTACCTCTGCTCCTGGGTACTTATTTAGGTCAACGTCGCTCACGACTTTGAATTCCTTTCGAATGATTTGATCTGTAGACCAAAAATTCAGATCTAAAATGGCCGACACCTCATACACAATGCTTCCAAATTTATCATTATAGGAGGAAGGTAGCATGGACGGGAGCGTGAAGGAGAAATGGAAGATATGTCGACCTTGTGGAAGCCAGTCTCCTGTATCAGCGACTGAAAATGATAACATCACTCAAAAATAAGATTACCATTAATTTAAACTGCAAGTGAAAGCGGAGAAAGAAAAACCAAATCAGTCTGTATGAATAAGGAAATGAAGACGTATTCTTTGAGAGTCATTTTCTATTTCGTCATTTCTAGTTACTGATTCCGTACAAATTAGATAATACCTGTACATGGCAATTTCGCTAAAAGTATACATCTGAAACCAGCGTCTGGAACCATCCTTGGGAAACGTAAGGTATTTTAGAGAAATAATATTTAAATGATTATACGTTATGATGAATCTTAGCTTAAGGTGGTGAAACGAAATGTTTTCGGTGATTCAAGACCCCGTTTTCACTGCAACTATGTTCACAGTACTTGATCCATCATTTGATATAGATAGAATAAATTTCAATATGCATTGTACAAAATGGTATTCATAATACTGTAATAAGTAAAATACAGACCTGTATGTACTTCATCAATATATAATACTAGTACCTTTGCCATATAGAGCAAGGGCGTTCCTGAAATAGTTTTCCTCCCCGTTGAAGTGTATGGTCTCTGTTTTCTGCTTTTGCCCCGGTCCCCCTGACTGTATTTTCCGGGTCCAGTGAACCTCCCCCCAACCAACACATTTCATGCGTATCTCTACATAGAAATAATTGATATAAAAAAGATCATTCAACATTTTTCATTTTATGCTGCTTTTTGAATTATGTCTACAGTTACTTATTCTGGAAAAAATAACATTTCAATTTTTAAAGCGCTTGGATTTTATAAAAATACATAACACACATCTCCTCCTTTCTTGTATGGGTACAGGCTTCCTTAAGTTAGGAATTTAGATATGAATGAAGCATTAAATAATGTTTATAGGTGTCGAAGTGTGAAGTAAGTGGTTCAAATGGACTTCTGGAGTGGATTGGAAATATAGACAGTCATGTATGATTTTTAGCTCCACTGCACTGAAAGCTCAAGTGAGCTTTTCCGATCACCTCTTGTACGTCCTTCGTCCTTCTGCCCGTCCGTCCGTCTGTAAACTATTCATATTTCAATTTCTTCTTTTAAGAGAACTACTGGACCAATTTAAATCAAATTTGCACAAATCATCCTTGGGTGAAGGTTAGTTTTTAAGTTCAAGTTCAAAGTTTAAATTGTTTAACTGATGTACCAAGCTCCCTAATAAGGGAGATAATCAAGAAATTAAAGACAAAAAAGTCGGTCAATAAGTAATCTTCTCCATTAGAATCACTGGTCCAGAAAACCCGAAACATGTGGAAGCATCCTTAGATATAGCACAAATTATGCCCCCATATGGGGTTAGAGTGGAACCATAATAGAAATTCCAAGTTTTACACTTAAATATAACTTATTTTTCAAAATATTCTTTTCTGAAACCATTGGGCCAGAAAATCTTAAACAAATCTTAAACATAATTGAAAACTTCCTGAGGTTATGTACATAGTAAATTGTTCAGATCATTGCCACTGGGGATAGAAAGGGGTCGCAATAAGTATTACAAACTGGCGAAGAACAGCAAGGTCAAAATTTCCAAGACGAGCGTTGTGGCCCATTGGCCTCTTGTTAAAATGGAAAACAGTTTTTTATTTAAATTTCAATATCAATTAATTTCATGATTAAAGATAAACTATATATATGAATTGAATATAAAAATCCCAACATGCATTTTCTTAGGTCTAAATATTGAATCTACGAGGAGGAAGTACAGTGTGTAAATGCAAAATTTACTATAACAAGGATCTGATTTTAATCATTTGGATGTCTTGTAAATTTTGCTTTGACCCACCCACCCCGTTAGTAAATTCAAAATTTATAACATGATACATGTTCGACACCACGTGAGATCTAAGAATGGTTCTTTGATGTTTATATGTAATATAGAAGTATTTACCCCTGACGTTTATTCCCGTGTCCAGTTCTATGATAAGTCGTCCTGTCACGTCTTGTCCTGGTTTGTATACAGCCCGTAAATCATCAAACTCTATCCTGTACACTCTCAGTTTTCCCATCATATATAGCGGCATTGATTGAATAACATTTTCTATATAAATAAAGTAAATTGATCAAATACACACATCAAAAATATATAAGTTATGGTAGATGTAGACGTTCTGGAAAATAAAATTTGATTTTACTTTGCCCTTATGATATTTTAAGGTCATTCTTGTTTCCCCTGTATGTAGATTCCTGTTGCTTTTGTTATGAGAATCTTCCAATCTGTGTTACTCTGGAATTGCTTGACGCCGGAAAAATTATTAAGATCTTCATTATTCCTTTTATAAACAATATGTGTTTGTCAGACAATGATGTCTCCTATTCTATTTCGAAGCTTTATGCAAAATATGAAAATCACAGCTCAGTTTACTCACAAAGTTACTCAAAAGTTCTGGGCAAGTTCAGATAAGTCTCGTTTGAGTATATATAACATTCCCCACGATAAATTATAGTCCAGGCTTTTTGATATCATTGACAGCTGCTTTTTCAATAAAAATGGAACTCGTTTATTTACTTACCTGGTCATTGGTCATTTGCAAAATTATTTTGAAAAAAAACCTCATTCTGATTGCACACACAAGTACTCTGAAGTCGACATAAAAAGATGCCTGAGTTTCTTATTGACAATACACTGTATCTATGTGGTTTTTTGAGACTAGGTCTTCCAACAATCTATTGGAATTTCCATGGGTAACATTTGCGCTCCGTTATTAGCAGACATATTTTTGTATTCATATGATGCAGAATATGTGCAAAATCTTATGCGTGAAAAGAAGGAAACACTTGCTGTGGCCTTCAACTCGACATTTAGATATATCGACGACGTATTGTCGATTAACAATGGTAATTTCCATTCCTATGTCGATATGATATATCCTCGTGAGCTTGAGATAAAAGATACCACAGAGTGTGACACATCTGTTTCATACTCTATATCTTACTTGAAAAAGACGTTAATGGTAATCTAACAACCAAGCTCTATCATAAACGTGACGGCTTTAACTTGTCTATCGTCAACTTCCCTTACTTATGCAGCAATATACCTTCATCACATGCATAGGGAGTTTATATCTCTTAGTTGATTCGATACACAAGAGCATTCTCTACGTATGAACAATTTCTAAAACGAGGTAAATTATTGACAAACAAGTTGATGAAACAAGAATATCAGCAGTCTCCTTTAAAGTCATCATTTCGTAAGTTCTATGGTCGATACAATGACATTGTCAGCAAATACAATTTATCATTGAGTCAAATGCTGACTTACGTTTAACATACTTATTATTAGTCCATTATTTAAACACTGAATTTTTCCGTTATTTCCCGATCATAGCAAGGAGCACACGGCGGGTATGACCGGTCGGCAAGGGATGCTCACTCCTCAATGGCACCTGATCCGAACTCTGATGTTTTGGAGGTCCGTGTTTGCTCTGCTCCTATTTTGTATTGTTTTATGGAGTCTGATATTGAATACTTTTCATTATTTCAATATCTTTCATTGATATGATTTCTCAACCAGCAAGAAGGCTAAGAATCCTTCAACACAGAATGATGATTTAGTCAGAATGAAATATATTTCTAGCTCATATATTTTCTAGTCGAAGTTGGAAGAGAGATCAAATCTCTGTGGTTGGTTACTGAATATACTTTTAGACAATGATATCAAACTGACGTAAACATTTATAAATTCTATTTGATAAGGAATCACATGAATATTGTAATTTTTACATACCCGCTCTAAAATTTCCTGATTTAACACAATAAAAACATAACAATAAAACTCAATATAGTCGCCAGTCGGAGATAAACGTTTCTCTGGGAAAAGTCACCTTTTTTCTCTGATACAAATGGAAACCATGGCCATTATCCAGAAACCCGCTTTACCTTAACATATTGATCAATAATTATAACTTTTCATGTTGATATTTTGCACTTTATTCACATCCTGGTATTGATTATATCCAAGTTCAGGAAAAACCTTCATTATACATCAAAATCCTAACAAACGTGCATACCTTAAAAGGGTATCAAAATTAATCACCGTTGTATAATCAAGAGAACATTGTTTTAATGATGAAGAAAAAAAAAATATGAAGGGCGGCATATAGAAGGGGAACATTTCATATTGAATTTAGATCTCATAGAGATCTTATCTTTCCAACTGTTTCCATTTGTGAACTGTCTCAGGATTTTTCTTTATTTATTTTTCCCCATTAAGTCATTTTAAAGGTGCTTAAACAATGATTTGCAATAAACATGCATTTCATCAATGAAAAAGTACTAACCTGTAGAACAATATAAATATGTACAGTGACTGAACATAAAAAAAGTAAGATGAACCTATTTACCTATTTTTAAATAAATTTCTTTATTTTCTATATTTTATGCGAAAAGCTTTTTATTTGAAGTTCAAACGTACACATGCACTGAATTACCTGATATATGACACATTTACAAATACTTATAGTTTAATCCAGAAACTTCAGTGTTCTATTCTTCTAATTTGGAAGATGCTGAATAAATTCTTGTCCATATGAAAAGGTCTGCTGTTAAGGGGGCGGAATTGGTACTCATGTGAAAATAAGATTATTTTTAGAAGAGTCAAACATTCTAGTATTTTGCATGACCTCCTAGCCTTCAGTAATGTGCAGATCAGTAAACACTCTTGCCTGCCCATATCATCACCGAACCTCCATTCAATCTGTCGTTATCAGAAATGAAACAATCGGCAAATCTTTTCCCCTTTGCTTTCCAAACAAGTCTTTTGTCATCATGGAAGTCAAAACAAAATCGAGACTTGTCTGAGAAGAGAACGGAACACCAACGCCATCATTGCAAGTTTCTTTTTTTGTCCACGGTAGTCCATTTCTGCGAGACTCTAGTACGACTGGTTGGCAAGTCTTGCGATTTCATTTATGAAGTCTTATTTGTTTTGAACTGTCTTAGTAGAAATCCGTCTACCCGTTGTTCTCTGAAGCACAGTAACAAGCTTACGAGCCCTTTGGAAGCCGTGCCTTGCAAAATTGGCCAAATAATGGTCCTCACAGACAGTCGTAAACCTTAGATGTCCCAATTTTACCCTTCTTTAACAGTTTCCTGCCAGTAAATTTTGGTTCCATCTGATTAAAATCAGATCCTTTGATCCGCTCACATAGATCGCTATACAAGGTTATCTGAAGAAACCATTCAGAGTCATCTCAAGATCCAATCAATGGTTCACTTATAAGAATTGAGAATTATCTCGGAATTCAGTTACAGAAGTGTAGCCCGATGATACACGAACGGACAATCGTGAGCAGGCTTCTGTAACCTTCCAAAAGAACGCCCATAATCTTTTCTGTACAGAAATACCGGTATAATAAGTTCTTGCTCTTTATTTTCACAAAACAATAAGATCTTCTCAACAGCTTATTTCACTTCTACATTCAATTTCCCGAATGTCGCTTCAATACAATCTCTCTGATTGGTCAAAATTTTAATGAATATCTTTATTAGAAGGGTCATCAGGTAACCCTGACTGGGATTTCTTTAGATCCTTGTGTAGCGATCTTCTGGTTTGTGGGTGGATCAAAGGGTCTGATTTTAGTCAGATTGCTTTCACATATTTATCAAAAGCACCTAATGTAAGAGGGAGGAGTACAACAGAACAGCTATTTACACTCCGTCATATCATAGAACAATGTACCGAATGGAACTCAACACTGTTTGTAAATTATTTTGACTTTGAAAAGGCCTTTGATTCCATTCACAGAGAGAGCCTGTGGTCTATTAAAAAGTTTTATGGTATCCCAGACAAACTGGTCAGAATGGTGAAACTCCTATATGAAGCATTTCAATATCCAGTCCTTGAAGACGGAGTAGAAACGGACTGGTTCTGGGTAACAACAGGAGTGAGGCAGGGTTGCACAATGTCTGGATTCCTATTTTCGTTGGTTATAGACTTTGTAATGAAAAGAACTACATAAACAGAACCAACAGGAATAAGATGGAATTTCACAATAAAACTCGAAGATCTAGACTTTTAAAAATTTCGGGACATCCAGCAAAACACACAGAGACTTAATGAAATTGCTATGCAGGCTGGCCTCATAATAAACATCGAGAAAACCAAAGTGATGAGACTCAACACTGACATAAAAGAACCATTCGATATTGATGGGCAAGACCTGGAGGATATAGAAACACTTACTTACCTTGGAGGTGTAATAACAAGGGAGGATCTGATGACGACATCACCAACAGACTGGGAAAAGCTAAGTCTCCATTTGGAAGGCTCAGAAAAATTTGGAGCTCATCAAAATTTTCCATCCAATCAAAAGTAAAATTATTTAACAGCTTGCTTCTTCGGTCCTAATGTATGGAAGTGAAACATGGAAAACAACAGAGAGAGAGAGAGAGAGAGAAAAGGAAAATTGACACTTTCCAGAATAGATGCCTTAGAAAGATCCTGAGAGTAAGATGGCAAAATGTCTAATGAAGAACTCCATCATAGAATAAAGACAGCTAGAGCAAGTGAGATAACTCTCAGGAAGTGGAATTGAATCGGCCATGAACTTGGAGAAGGACAACGGAGCAAGAAAGGCTACAGCTGGGATGGAAAAACTGGGCGTCAGCGGGAGCAGCAGCCAAAGACAGAGACAGGTGAAGGCAGTGTATTGGGGCCGTATGTACCGGCTGGCACGAAGAGGATAGGTGAGTTGAAGTGACCTATTTTAAGTAACGTTCTTGAATTTTTCTGAGTCTCCTGATCCTTTACAGTTTTTAAATTTATGTATTGAGTACATGTACTTCTAATATTTAACAAATAAAGAACTGGTATTTGTCTTTAAAAATATCAAAAGAAAGCAAGTTTTCTCTTGCATCGCCTTTCTCGATGGTTTGACTTGACTTGAATCTGGAGACGATTTCACCCTGAACATTTTTAGTTAAATTGGATTATAACATTTTTAATAATCAATTTAAAAATAGGTCAAAGTTATATACATATACATCTTCAAATGGTATTTTGAACTTTTTTATTTTATATACATGTATAAAAAAAAACATACAGGTAAATCAAATAAAGTCACTGCTTGTGAGTACATGTATTTCAACATCACATATACATGTACATACCCACATTATAAAGTTTAAAGTGAAATTTTGTTACTAGGAATTTTTATAGAAATGTAAAATTGATTCATATACATATTATTCCATATAGCAAGATTAAAACAGAAAAAAAAATTAGCCATTGACAAAAGAAAAATCAAATAAATTCATTTTTTTTCTTACACCTACTACTAGAGACACAGATATAAACATTTCCTCAACGCTAGGAAAACTTGTAAAACGAATAGCAAGGAGTGAATTCCAGTTGTCCGTAGATGTGTTCCTCTTCTTTTTTCTCATCTTTCTTGATGTTTGTTGGACCCCAGACGGATTCACTGAAGATTGGAGTAGCTACGACAGAAAGGTTCATTTAAAAATGAAAGGGTAAGATATCAGAACAAATATTAAATTTTTGAGGGTGTTAATATCACAAAAGAGACTTATTGTATAAATGAAATCAAGAATCATTTGAATTATTGCTTAATCTAAAGTACATAGTAATTTAAGGACCTTGTAAAACTAAAACATGAGAAGTATAGTGAACATTTTCGAGATATTGAAAATTGATCATACGCATTATCGACGACTCTGATTTTTGGTTCTGCTGTACCACTGATTGCAGTGGAATGGATCCGATGATGATTTCAACTGGGATATGTAACTGAGACGATGGTCCGTGTGGTTTGATAACCAGCTACAATAAACGTGAGAAAAAAGTCATTCACCATCCACAACTGCATATTCATTGTTTCCAAATTTACTATTCGCTTTTAATTGTTCTAGCACACGAAATATTTTCTATAAATGAAACATATTGAAATAACGAAAAGCTAGTACTCAAAATCAAAAGTCCATGGAACAATACAAATTATGAGACCTCCAAAAAATCGGAGGTGGGACCAGGTGCCATGGAGGAGTGAGCATCCCCTGCGATCGGTCACACTGGCCGCATGCTCCTTGTCATGATCGGGAAACAACAGAAAAAATCCGTCGTCAATTCAGTGTATATATAAGGGACTAACAATTTTTATGAAAAACATCAGTCAGCATTTGACTCAGTGATAAATTGTGTGTTTTCTTACCTTTACATGGTATTTAATGTCGATGATAGAGCAGCCCGCCAGGTGAGAAGGAGCCAGAGGAGGAATCGGAAATCTTTCTCCACTCCAAACCTCTGACTGACCCGGAGTCAAATCTTCGTGTTGAATACGGTTGATTAACTTGGTCTCAGTATATATTCTCTTTTTTGGCCTTACTGCGTTATATGTTGTGACCTTTCAGATGACAAACAGATTGTATTAAGACTTACAATCACATGTATATATTTTTAAGACGAGTTTAGTGAAATGCAAAGTATTTTTAAATGTTAGGATTTAAATTAATAATTATTGGAAATGATATTATGGAAATCAGTTTAGGTTTATTCTGGAGCAATGGTAAGCTGAAGTTTTACTTGAAGTATTGTACAATATTTTTAAGAAAAAAGTAATACAATTTAATTATTACAAACCATTTGAAAATCGGCAAACATGCTGCACACACGTGTTGAACTATTCTGAGCACTAGCTTCGAAGTAAATTGATTCCCCGGGAACATACCCGATTCGGTTTAGTTTTAATGTTCCCATGATAGGGCCTGATTTACAGCACAAACAGCAGAGGGTTTCCGAATTCTGGGCTTCTCCACCGTTCTTCAGAAAAGAAAAAAAAATAATATACAAAAAAGTTTTTAAAAAGACATTTCATGCAATTACGATTTTAATTTCTACAAAAGGTCAGAAATTAAAAAAAATAATGATGATCACAGAGATATGACACAGGCACTTGGTTCGGAAATAATTTTTCAACCCATTATAGTATAATAACAAGACAAGGTATCTGACTATGAATTACACGGAGTACCCCCTCCCCCAGAATCGCACTCATTTACACTTTCAGAGGAAATACACTTACAAACTATTTCTACTTATGTCTTCTACGATAATTTATCTACACAACCATATATGACATGCTTGTCTTTATTTTCTTTAGTCTCCGTAAACAGCATCACTTCTCTACTCGCTGGATGGAAAATTCGAACTCAACCAATTTGTCAGCAAATACAATTTATCATTGAGTCAAATGCTGACTGACGTCTTTCAAACTAATTGTTAGTCCATTATTCATACACTGAATTGACGACGGATTTTTCCGTTATTCCCCGATCATGACAATTAGGAGGACAAGGCGGGTGACGGGTCGGCAGGGGATACTCACTCCTCCATGGCACCTGATCCCATCTCTGATGTTTTGGAGGTTCGTGATTGCTATACTCCTTTGTATTGTTTTATGGATTTTTGATCTTGAATACTGTTCTTTATCTCCATATGTTTCATTCTTTTTGTTATAATGAATGTTTGTAATTTTATGCCTCTTCTTTCTATTATGTGTTTGAATGATTTTTAGTGGCTTTATGCTTATTTTTTTTTAATTATGTGTTTAACCTGGATGTCAGTGGCTTCTTTCTATAAATGTGTTAATCTTGTTGTACCTTTTTATAGAGTTAAAACCCCTGATTTATTGATCTGATTTGATACACTAGTAGTTACCGCAGCTGTTGGTTCCAGATTCAAGTCCAATGTCGATAAGACAGTGAAAGGTTGGACAGTGTGTTCATCATACGCATAGGGTCTGTCTATAATTCCTTCCACTTTGTAGCGGACGTATCCATGTTCCCCCTCGAAGGAGGAAGGTAAGTCAGGAGGTAGGACAAATGAGAAGGGGAACACGTGTTTTCCCGCGGGTAAACGGTTTTCATCACCACTTCCTAAACCTACATGTACAATGTAGATAGTTATCGTATTGCTAAGACTTAGTAAGTAAGGAATACAATATGCTTTAAAATACATGCAATGTTTAACATAATTTCTCATCATTCTTTTATCTGAAAACGGAATTTTTAAAATTGTAGCATAGTAATAGTTAAAAATAACAAAAATTTAGTTTTAAAAAATGTCATTAATCAAAACTTTATAGTACCCTTTCCAAACACTGGTATTGTTTTATCAAAGTGTTCCTCGTTTCCTGAGTAGTGCTTTGTTTTATCCATGCCGTCCCCACCATCTATATGCTCCGACCAAGCTACGTGGGTTTTCCCGTCACACTCTAATCTAATTTCTTGTAAAAAGTATGAACAAAATGTCCATTTTAGTAGTACTATGTTAATAATAAATGTGAGGTTAGATTTGATAATTGTTTTGCCAAAACATTTATTTCTCTTGGGAGTTTGCGATAAAGAAATGTGATGTCTCAGTCTGTCTGTCTGAATCTATGTCTTTTCATGGAATTGTTTCCAACTATAGATTTCACGAACAATACCATATCTGTTAATTTGTCTCAAGAAAAGACGATTTTCAACACACATACAAAAACTTCATTGATTTTTTTTTTATTTTTTGTTTACTAGTATTCTTCTGCTGGCTGGCCCAGGTAGTACAAATCAATGCGGTTATTGACCTTTTCAAGCACTTTCTAAACAGCGGTTCTTAATCTCCAGGAATAATTTAACTAAGGCAATTATTACTGAATATTCTTCAAATCAAATACACATTATATTTAGTTATCATTTGTGAAGGCAGTGCAAAATTACCACCTATATCAAATGAATGATTGAAAAAAGTTACAAAATTTTATAAAATACCCCGCATTTCCATTTCTGTTTCCAGTTCAAGGATTGTTTTTCCACTGACGGTTTCACCAGGTGTATATACACCAAGCTTATTGTCCAAGTCTATGTGGAAGGACTTCAACTTTCCCATCTTCTTCTTCAAGCCTTTAAGTATTTAAACCAAATCTTCATGTAAACATTTTTTTCTGTTAAAATGATTAAGAGCGTACATTGCAGATGATATATCATTGTATTTGGTTACCTTAATCGTTTTTAGCTCACCTGAGCCGAAGGCTCAAGTGAGCTTTTCTGATCACATTTTGTCCGGCGTCCGTCTGTCCGTCTGTCTGTGTGTCCGTAAACTTTTCACATTTTCGACTTCTTCTCAAGAACCGCTGGGCCAATTTCAACCAAACTTGCCACAAAGCATCCTTGGGTAAAGGGGATTCAAGTTTGTTCAAATAAGGGCCACGCCCTTTTCCAAGGGGAGATAATTATGAATTAGAGAAAAATTAATGGCATTTTTAAAAAAAATCTTCTTCTCAAGAACCACTGGGCCAGGAAAGATGAAACTCATGTGGAATCATCCTCAGGTAGTGTAGATTCAAGATTGTTCAAATCATGACCCCCGGGCCTAGGGTGGGGCCAAAATGGCCGACCCAAGTTTTACATAGGAATATATAGGAAAAATCTTTAAAAATCTTCTTCTCAAGAACCACAGGGCCAGAAAAGATGAAACTCAAGTGGAATCATCCTCAGGTGGTGTAGATTCAAGTTTGTTCAAATCATGACCCCCGGGCCTAGGGTGGGGCCAAAATGGCCGACCCAAGTTTTACATAGGAATATATAGGAAAAATCTTTAAAAATCTTCTTCTCAAGAACCACAGGGCCAGGAAAGATGAAACTCATGTGGAATCATCCTCAGGTACTGTAGATTCAAGTTTGTTCAAATCATGACCCCCGGGCCTAGGGTGGGGCCAAAATGGCCGACCCAAGTTTTACATAGGGATTTATAGGGAAACCTTTTAAAATCATTTTTTCAAGTACTTCAAAGCTATGATTAGTGATATTAATATGGAATCAGCTTCAGGTAGTGTAGATTCTAGTTTGTTCAAATCATGAACCCCTAGGGGGGTTAAAATTTACCCCTCCCCCCTCCCCCCCCCCCTCAATAAACTTTCAGTTCTGATCTGATATGTGCTTTTTCCTAGCCAATGTGCTCAGGTGAGCGCTGTGGCCCCTGGGCCTCTTGTTCACTTATCTATTAGAACATTTAATTCATAAAACAAAGTTAAATCATCTTTTTCAGAGCAAGTAATGAAGATAAAGGAACACAAAAGAACTCCGATAGACAATTTTGTACTTTAATGAAACTCTGTTAATAACACTGTGTTCAATTTATCCAATAATTGAATTTAACCACAGGCACCTGACGTTACTTATTTTTCTTTTAATAAAAAATATACACATACCCTTAGGTATGTGCATATTTTTTTTATTAAAAGAAAAATAAGTAACGTCAGGTGCCTGGGTATGTGTATATTTTTTTTATTAAAAGAAAAATTTTAAAGTAACGTCAGGTGTCTGTGAATTTAACCTCTGCACAAATTGCAGACTCGCTAATCCTCCAGTAAGAAATTAGTCCCTTTTTACGCATGCTGTTGGAAGTTACGTTTTTAAGAGTCATATATACAATGTGTATAAGTATGAAAATATATATGCTCAAGAAGCGAAAAATCTTACCTTTCTCAATCAAAAATTTAACCTTCCAAAAAAGGTCCTTTTGATAAAAGAATACAAGTATAAACACAAATTAATATCCATGCACCTTTTTAAACATATGAATTTGACATGAGATATACAGATTTATGAGTATCTAAATGCTTTAAGATCGAATAACCATTGTTTGTTGGGTTTTAAATTGATATCGATAAATAATTCAAGCTGCACATGGAACATTCTTTAAATAGAATTTGCGCTCTAATTATGTTTTCAAGCTTGACTAGAATATGATTACTTTGTACACATTTTCTGGAAGGTTCTTGAGTTTGCTTTTGAACACAGTGTGTAGATCTCAGTGTACGGTGTGTTTATGTGTACTTTACTTAAGGAATAACTGTCTTATTTTTCGATTTCATGATGTGATCAATCGATTGGGTTGCGTGATAATTTGCATAAACGCCGAAATTATGCCAATCGATTGATCATCGTCTTAAAATTGAAAAATAAGACAGTTATTCCTTATATTTACTTGCTTTGATTCCGCCAATCCACGTGCTCCAAGCCCTGCTTCTGCCTAGCTGTTTGGTTCACTGCACGTGTTTTTTTTTTTTTTTTTTTTTTTTTTTGGAACCGCGCCAATTATACATTGATGGGGAAATAAAGTACATGTACAATTTGTAATTTTATCTAGGACAAAGACATTGGAAATGTAAATATTATATTATACTGAATTTTTTATACAAATACATATAACAGTGAACAGTGCGCGCATAAATTCTGCGCAGTCGCTATTTTTTGGAATATCACCCGTCGTCAAGCACTGTTGACTGTTGCTGTGCTGGAGGGCGTGGCTTCATTATTCAGTGGGTAATAGTGTATTTTAACAAATGTTTCTCGACCAATCAGATTCAACATATTTACATAAAAGTATAATATATATTAAATATTGTACAACTTTCCACAGTGCTTGGAGGTTTCAGAAATATTAAACTCCATGTATTTTTTAGCAATTAATTTTGTTCTCTTTGTATTGTTTTATTATTTATGTATTTTCATTTTCTGTGGAAAGACCTTTAGCCTTTTCATTGTTTATTATTTTTCTTCTCTATTCTTATTTTTCTTCCGCTTTTTTTGTTTAAAATAAATATGCAAAAATTTTTGTTCATCGTAAAGGTCATTAAAAGTTAGAACAAATTTGAAACGCGTATGAACTATGACCGCTTTCCATAAGTTATTGCCCCTTTCGCAAGAAATGCTTGTTATCGCTACTCCTCCGAAACCGTAAACCATAGTCAGAATTTCAAACCTTCACCAATGTCTTGAAATAAAGTAATAAAAAATATAAATTATGTTAAACTTACTTGTTAATACTTCAATGAGTTATAGCCCCTGAAAGTTTTTGAATTTTAAAAATAATTAAATATTTTCAAAACGAGAAGTCGTAGCAACATGGGACTAACTGCATAAGATTCATTGACCTTTGATCTTAAAATTTATGTAAAGGTCAAAGGTCAAGGTTTAATAAATTGAGAAATTAAGCTTTTTTTATATCTTTTTTTTTTTAACATATACAAAGGTCTTAGCATCATTATTATGCACTTTTAAAACTATTTTAAAGATTTAAATCCATCCCTTAAAATTGACCCTATTAAAAGTTATTGCCCTTTGTGCGAAAAACCTTGTTATTGCTACTACTTCGAAACCGTAAACCGCAGAGAAAATGAAACCAATCACTGGCTAATGTTTTCAACTCCTTGAGGAGACTCTGGAATTTTTATTGCAAAATATTCGTTGACCCCTTCAATGAGTTATTGCCCCTGAAAATCTTTGAATTGTACAAATAATTAAAAATTTTCAAAATGAGAAGTCGTAAAGACATGGGACTAACTGCATAAGATTCATTGACCTCTGTTAATAAAATTTATGTAAAGGTCAAAGGTCAAGGTCATTCAAAAATTGAGAAATTAAGCTCTTTTTATATCTTTTTTGTCTTTTAACATATACTTAATGTCTTTGCAACACTAATACGACTTTTAAACCTATTTCAAAGATTTCATTCTTGTCCCTTAAGATTGACCCTATTAAAAGTTATTGCCCCTTTTGCGAAAAACCTTGTAATTGCTATTGCTCCGAAAAAGTAAATCGTAAAGACATGAAACCTTCACTTATGTCTTAATTGACTTTGGGCACAACTTTTATGTTCAAGTGCGAAAGGATCTGGTGACTCCTTGAATAAGTTACTGCCCTTTAATTCTTTTGTGCTTACCATTAAACCTTATAACTTTAAAAATATACGTCTAGAGACATGGGGTTAATTACAATGTGATTTTGACCTTTGACCTTGAATATACCTTGAAGGTCAAAGGTCAAGGTCACCTCTAAATTTTGACCTTTTTTCATTTTTTTTTCTTTTAAGCCATTCCTGGTTTCTTTTTGATGAAATTTAATTTTAAAGAGATAAATATTACATGAAATTAAAATTCAAAGAAGGTGGAAAGACCTCTTATTGTTCTATGAACAATAAGTCTCCTAGTTATTTATGTATTTTCATTTTCGAAGTTTCCTTTAGACTCTGTTCATTGGTTTGGTGGATTTTTCCACTAGGACTACGAACCATCAGGTTTGGTATTATGTTTAAAATAAATATGCAAAAATTCGTTAAAATGTGGTCCGCTTCAACCAAATCCGACACTTTTTAAACCGAAATACATCAATTAAACCTTTATGAAGCGCTGTTTTGGGTATACATGTATTGCCATTTAGTGTTTCAAATAAATGATATCAAGCATCCATATTGAATATAACCTATTCAAATTGGTGATCAATATAAATTCGAGCTAACTCGATGATAAGCCTATTCAAATTGGTGATCTATCATATATATGATCTGATCAGCTGATAATATGATATCGATCACCGTCAGTTAGACTTAATTATTTGAATAGGTAATGCCGCCTATTCAAAAGATACATAAGTTTATCACCTACTAGTATTCAAATAGATGATATTCTATACCAATATAAGATTTGATATTATAAATCCCAGAAAGGTGATTTTACACATTGAGTAGGTTATATAACATACTCGGATATTCAATTATCTCACGGTTAGTTTTGTGTTTGTACATCTGTAACTATGTTTCATGTCACAATGATTTTGTAGATCCATAAATTAAATACAAGATGCTAGAAACCAAATCGATAAACGTGAAAAAGACGAAATTTAAAAAAAAAACAACTTACCGGTTCTTTTGATATATGACGTTTTAAGTAATTCGTGACGTCATAAAAGCATTGAATGTATTAGGCCCTAGTATCCCCTCGCAATGAAGTTGGGAACCCATCACTTATGATATCTGCAACTCCTTATATACCACTTAACATTTCAATGAGAATTTAGTAGAAGTAATTATTATTTAATACATAATGTTATTGTTCACCTCCTGTGTAACATTTTTTAGGACAATATTTCGGGTTTTCCGTGACAACAGAGACACAAATTATCAAAGCTTTTGGTGTCCCTGGCAAGACGTACAATGGACAATAGATGATAGTTCTACAACATAACAAAGCAAAACTGCACATCATTAAGGTTGTTTTCAATTCTTTAATCACTCAAAAACCAGATCTTTTTTTCCTTTCTTTTATTCCTTGTATCAACAGATACATCAGATTAACATATTAATTACATACATATACATAATTGCCATGTAAACATATAGCACAATGAATTAACACTAGTATTGATAAATGTACATATATATACATACATATTATTGTGTTACATGTATCATAATATTAAATCAATATTATAGTACTTATTATTACAATAAATTTATTTTACTTTCTCGTAAATGACACGCTTCTCTTAAAAAATTATCCAAACCTCTTAATTCCCTTACATTTTGGACACTTAGGAATTGTATTAATTTATATACACTACTATTTTTATAATAATATTTTTTAATATATTTCTTCCTTAAATTTTCATATGTTGGACATTGTAAAATGAAGTGAAATTCATCTTCTGTATCATTTAGACTACACAATATGCATTTTCTTTCATTTCTATTAGTATTCGTGTATCTACCCCTTTCAATAAATAAATTGTGATCAGACATCCTAAACTTTGATATTATTTCTCGATTTTTAACACTTAAAGTTTTGTTAAGATCACTGGTGCATGACTAACATGAGGTACTGTATTCATATATATACAAACAAAAATAACAGTCAATGATCAATAAATAGACTGGTATATAAAAAAAGAAAAGAATGAAGGAAAATTATAATCTGCAATTTATATTTAATGGAGCGGACAGTTTTGAAGATTTTCTTCATAAATTTTGATCATAAGGTCATTAAATTTGAAAATGTAAGGATTTTTTTTTAAAAAAAATATCTTCTTTTTTTTTTGTCTTTTTTGAAGAAAATATTGCCCTGTCATTCTAAATAGTACTTGCATTTCATAATATAATTTAAAAAAATAGTAACCAATAGTTTTACATTCAAAAATGGTACATATTCTCAATTTTCTCTCAATATTATTCCATTTTCAATGTTCACAAACATCCACCCCACTTTAATTGAAATCAAATTAAATTGCTGATGGCCTTCATTGACCATGTGAATTTCTGAAAAAGTGAAATTACTTAGGTTTTAGCTGACAATTTTCTAGCTAGTCAATGTATTATGAATCAAATGTTTTAACTAGGCCTAATAACCCAATATTCTAGTAATGCTTACTCTTTTTTGGTGCATACATGTACATACAGTGTGAATAAAGAGATTTGATTTTAACACAAGTCATTAAATTGCACTGTACATAAGCTGCGAGGAAGGTACAATACAGTTTAATTGGAGGAAGACCGCCAAATTAGGCCTTTTAATGGTAACCTTGCTCCTGCAGTATAGTGATTTGTCCAATGTTTATTTTGACCAGTTATAGTACGTATAGGTGGGTGTAAAGTTTAGCTGTCCTTGTGTGTGTTCACCATCCCCTTCCTCTGTTATATTGGTGGGTCCCAGAATAGACTCGTTGTATGACGGGGCAGCTAAAATGAACAAGTCAATTTCATCTTATAGCAGCATTTGTTAAACAAGTCGTTTATAAAACTTCCAAAATTCAGTTGTTTAACTTACTCAAATTACAGAAATTTCACAATTCTAAAGAAAAGTCTGCATTTGAATTTATAAACAATCTAATTCAGAGAATCTGTGTATAACGCTTTCGGAAAAAAGAAGAGCATGCGTGGATCGGGGGTGTCGAAAAGGGGGGGGGGGTAGAAGGGCAGGCAGTGCCATAGGGAGTAATGGTATAAAGTTTAATTGCAAAAACTCAAAGTCTTCTTGAGATATCGCCTGGAAATGAAAGTTTACACACACGCGGTGTGACCATTGCTCTTTTGCCCTCAAAATCATTAGGGATCTGTCTTAAGCCATAGGGAGTTGTGTAAAATGTCACTGCAAAGGCTCAAAGGCGTCTCGAGATATCGCATGGAAACGAGTTTTACAGACAGACAGACAGACGGACAAACAGGCCGAAATTAATATCCCCACTTTCATAGGGGGACACTGACATAGCGATTTACCATCACAGTAAAACATTTGCCATTAACAGCAAGGGAGGAATAGTTCTATTTGTTGCATATTAAGTATTATATAATTGCGCCCATTCAATTACACAAACACATTCAGAGAGAGAGAGAGAGAGAGAGAAAGGGGGAGAGGGGGGTATCATGGGTATAGCGAGAGAATGATACATGATGAAACTATTCCTAAAGTCTTCGAACTTACGCATTGCGATTTCCGGTGGCGCCGATGGTCGGACTGATGATAATGTTTGATGATACTGTTGTACAGCTGAATGTAGAGGGACGGTCCCAATAATAATTTCAATCGGAACGACCAGGTCAAACGCAGGACCAGAGGGATCGATGATCAGCTGCAAAATAAGGATTAATTAACGTTAAATACACTGAAAGATTTACAAATGTATTATCTCATTCACTTATCTGCAATATGAAGAATTGACCAAATTATTAATCATCCAACTATGATATATTTACTTGATTTAAAATAGTTTATAATGAAGTTCTATGTGATTTAAAATAGGTATGATACGGAATGGGGCTCTTTTCAACAGTGTGGAAATTATAGGAGACATTACCAGAAGCAAAAACCGTAGGGCTGGCCTGTGCAACCAGTGGTTACATACGCTGTAATAATTATACTGATGACGATCGTAAGTTTCTATTGAATCGACTTAGTTTTAGTTTTTAACTATACTCAGTTTTAGTTTTTTTAAAAAAAATATGAATACACTAGTAATTGCAAACGGTTGACACTGGTATTGGTACTGGTATTGGACCCATCACAAGGGTCCACGAAAATGCAATAAAAATCCAAAATCTTGCTTTTTGATGACATCAAGAAACTAGCTTTAGTTAAATTATCAAACCATAGTTTATTAAATCCTAAAATATCATGGAACTAGTTTGCAAGTGTGGTCATTATTATGAAGTTTGAGCGACCATCAGCCGCCATCTTTATATTTACCTTTAAGTAATATCTTATGTCAATTATATTACAGTGGGTAAGGTAAGACGGGGGTAGAGGGGGTAGGATAATTCTGTCTCCACTCCAAACGTTCGTGTCTCCAGGATTAAGGTTTTGGTGCTGAATGCTGTTGATGGTTTGTACACTCGAGCGACTTTTACTCCTCGCATGAAAGACGGTTACCTTCAATAAGAAAAAAAGTTAATTTTATAGGAATCATATTTTTCATAAAGATAAAAATATCCCATTATACAATTTACAGTCCGTCTGCAAACTTTTTTCAAACATTTTGGACACATTTTCAAGAATCGCGCTGGCACGAAAAAGATCCCTCACTGCTCAATGTCATGTTCCTTGCCTTTGTGGAAAGGTAACCGTTGTGGCCCATGGGACTCGTTTATAAACATTTTCCCCGTGACCTTGATCTTGAAGTTTTTGCCTACTTTTGAACACCATAATTTCTGAATGGTTGACGCTTGGGCTTTTATATTTCACAGGTACATTGTATATCTCTTTTGCCAAGACCTTCCTTTGGGTACTAATATTTTTGACCTCTTTACCTTGACTGAGAAGAGTATTAATCTTTCACAAACATATCTTTCTTATTTTGCCAGGGCATCTTTTCACATTGAAATACATATTTCATTTTTAGACCATAGTTCAACGGTGATTATGATGGTTGACAGTGCGTTCTGATGCTCTTTACGCATGCCAAATATCACGAGCCTTGATTTTCATACATGTATGAGTGGTACCAATATGCAGACTATTCTCTCAACATTTGGTTGACAAGAAACCTTAATTCAATTGCATTTTTGAAGCCATTACCATTTCCAAGTTAGCAGACATTCCACATTCACGACCTGTCATATTCTGAGCACTAGCCTCAAAATATACAGATTCTCCAGGAACATAGCCCAACCGGTGTACTTTTATCGTTCCTACTATTGGACCTGATTTACAACACAAGCAGCACAGGTTCTTTGAATCTGTTGCCTCAGCCCCTTGCTACAAACGAAACATATTACAAGCTTTTTAAAGGTTGCATCACGGAAAAAAAACAAGTGTTCAATTATACATTAATTATAAAATTTTCCAGTAATAGCTTACTGAGGCTAAGGGTAGTTGGTTGAGATCTAGAGGACTTAAGACTGAAAATGCAAGAACTGTGTGATCGTCAAATCTCCATGGCCTGTCGATGGTACCTTTAACGATATATCGCACGTAACCATGATTCCCTTCAAATGAAGATGGTAAATTTGGAGGCAATACAAATGAAAAAGGAAATGCGTGTTGTCCTGGAGGCAAGGTGTATTCATCTCCACCACTTAAGCCTATCAAAGAAGTGAACAATTTACAAAGAATGTTTGGCTAAAGAGACAAGAAAATTAACAAAGGGAATTCATAAAATTACAAAATCAAAATATCATTCTAGATATTGAAAAATGTATTAAGGTTTTCTCTTACCTTTTCCAAACACGGCTAATTCAGTGTTGAAATAACATTCACTTGCTCTGTAGGTTACAGTGTGTCTGTTTTTACCAGACCCACGACTCTCTGACCACCTCACATTTGCTTTCCCCTCAAAAGTCAACCTGATTTCTGACAATATATATAATGTCACTTATAAAGATATTTGCAGATTCCACAGGATTACTATACATTTCCATAAAAAAAAAATTGGCACAGGCAAAAACGTTAAATGATATAGTCAAAAATTCTATTTTGTTGGAGATAAAAAGGGGTTGGGTGGATAAAAATCGTAACGGGGGGGGGGGGGGGGGAGCAAGCAGACTAAACATTACTAAATAACATATATAGAAAAAAACTTATGAGCTTTTGCAATGAAATCTCATAGCACAATACCCTATGGCTCAAAGAAAACCCTCCTAATTTTGAGGTCAAGGTTATAAATTCTAACATATCTGCGTGTAATACTTTCATTTCTGGACAATTTCTCAAAAAGCCTCTGAACTCTTGCAATGACATTTTTATACCCCGTCGCTTAAAAAGACCCTATTTTATATTGTGGTCAAAAGTTCAAAGGTCAAGGCCATAAATTCAAACATTCTATGTGTTACACTTTCGTTTATTGATGATTTCTATTAATTTTGAGGTCAAAAGATCGAAGTCTAAGGTCATATCTATATTTATCTATTCATTATCTTTGTAACATTTTGTATCCGTGCTATATCTTTAAATGTCTTTGAGCTTTTCCATTAGATTATATATCACGCCACTCATTATAGCCTAAAGAAGATCATCTTTGACTAAAAAAGTAAAAAAGTTCAAAGGTTAGGTCAAAATCATACATTATAAATAACATTTTTCAGATGATAACTAAGTATTTTATTATTTATTTTTTTTTTAGCTTTCTTCAATAAAATTTAATTTCAAAATGACAAATAGAAGACCCCAGTTAATTTTGAACCCATGTGACCTTAGACTAAGGTTTCAATTTTTAACATTAAGTTTGTGTGTAATACTTTCGTTTCCAGAGGATGTCTTCTCAAGAATATAGCACAGCCCCTTATGACCCTAAGAAGACCCCTTTTGATATCAAATTCAAACATTGCAAATATCAGATGATATTAACCATATATTTTCTTTTTAAATAAAATTTTATATCACAACTTCCTATGGCCTGATGAAGAAACCTATTAACTTTAAGGTCAGAGGTCAAGGTAATAAGATTCCGTCCGAGCAACACTTTTTTCCAAACTATATCTTAATACTGTGTGATCTCTTGGCAGGTTCCAGTTAATAATGTTAGTTTTTCTGCATATTTTTAAAAATGTAAAACTTAGATTTTCCACTGTAGTTCCACCCTACCCCCGGGGTCATGACAATTTAATTAGAATTTACTCTATCAAAGAATACTTTAGTATAAGTTTCAGCTTTTCTGTCCCAGTGATTCTTGAGAAGAAGATTTTTAAAGATTAGCCTAGTTTTCATTATATTTCAAAATAAATCTTTCATTCCCCACTTTTACATTACCTGAGAATTCTTCCACATAAGTTTCAGCTTTTCTAGCCTGGTGGTTCTCGAGAAAAAGATTTTGAATATTTTTCTTTTAATATTTTGTTGTTAAAGAACATATATTGAACATAGTGTAAAGAAAATTGAGGTACGCTATATACCTCCTGAAATACCCAGATGTCACTGTACTGACTAATATCACTACTTACATAGACCTTCTACTTGAAACCATGAAGAGAAATTGATAAATCTTTAGGGGGGGGGGTTTAATAATTTCATTTAGATTATAATTTCATTTTCAACAAGCACACATCTCTCCGTTGAAATTTATTGATAGAAAGTTTGAAGGTATGGAAATCTGAAATATTATTTTTTGAAAAAGGTACAACATATTTTCCTTCACATGTGATTAATTATTTGTGGATGTGATGATCTTTATTACGACAGATGGGCGTACGTTTTTTTTTTACCTCTCATCTTCATCTCGGACTCGAGGTCCACGACAGCCCTTCCGCTGACAGTCTGCCCCGCCCAAAACAGTCCCTGGAGATTGTCCAAGCCTATCTGAAAACCTCTCAACTTTCCCATCCTGACTCCGCTTTAATATAAATAAGATGAAGAGACTAAAAAGGAATTTACAGAAATAAGAAACTTGTCCACTACGTAGTTGGTATATCTAAAGCAATATATAAATAGCAAAAGAATATTTGTCAATTCACTTCGTATATTATTTTGCAATCACTGGCACAGTTTAACATTGCCCGGAGACTCTGCACATTCTTTAATCACTACGTATATTTGATTCCATTTCCTTAATTGAAAAGAATGGTAGGCTAAGTGTGTATGTAGTTTACCTTTGTGATATCTTGAAGAGAAGTATTATTAATTGAATACATATGCATGCACTGTGTGTCTAAATTTTGTTTTAAAGGTTTTTCAAAATAAAAATGTTGTTGAAGTTAAAAGTAAATGAATTAGGAAACCTACCGGTAATTTGAAGATGTCTGACAAATATATATAACGCTATATTTTTTTTTTCATTTGCATGTGTGAAAATTATTTTGTAATCTATAAATTTTAATTTTCTATTCTATCATATCCTATTTGTATATTATTTTGTTTTAATTTTTTTGTTTTCTGTAAATTAATACAATACATATGGATACTTATTCATTACAAATGAGCAATAATACAAGAAAAATCTGGAAAAAAAAATATACGCGATGTAAATGGAATTTATAGAATACAAATAAAACATACAATACAGATGAAAAAAAAAATACAATACAAATGAAAAATTATAGCATGATGAAAGGATGAGATTTTTATTTAAATAATCTGCGTATTTTTGGCAAGACTATGATAAATAAGCTTTTAGCCCGTTGTATTTATTTTGCAATATTTAAAGATTATCGATCGAGTGCTTAAAGGGATTGTGCATGGGGTATAGCGTGTGATTCGTTGCTTGGTACATGGAGTATCAAAATTCACTCTCGATCAAATTTTTCATACAAAGTCAAAATGATCCTGATAAAGCCGCAAGACAAACTTTTCCTAGTCGTTTAATTTTTTTAATATAGAATCTTGCATAGTTTCAACTTTTTTCACTGCTTCTAATGTTTATTTGTGATTAAACTTTAAATTTTGTGCAGCTTAAAGAAACAATGAACAGAATAGACATGCATATCTTCAATATATTAACGATTACCATGAAACAGATGTGTTTTATAAATAATAAACATTATTTATTAACGTTTCTGTGAACATTTTGTATCCGTCATGAACACTTACCTCAATTACGGAACTTTGATTTCAATATCCGTCAGACAATGTAGACTAGAAAGACCCCAAATTTCCCAAGTCTTTCAAAATATTTCTAAATATCAAAGACCTTTTGAGAATGATCGTGTACGTATTTCACAGTTAAATGTCTATGTGGAGTAATAATAGGTCAAAGGACTTTTAAACACGTACACATTTTTACCGTAATATTTTAAATACTCCAGTACACAAGGTTTAAAGTAATAGTGAATGTAATCTGTGTATCTTGTACATTGTTTTTGTATATATTGTACATGGAACCTCGTGTATCATTAATTGGCTTGATTTAATTACTAGTAATTGAACTTGAACTTGTAATCAGAATCTTCTAACTTCTGGTCTAAAGGCAATTTAAAGTTTGCAAAAATTATTTTATGTCATGAAATTACCAAACATTTTTTTTCTTCTGAGATAGTCTTCATGCATATTCTGTGGTCATTTAAATTATGTATTATTCTGTGGCTATTGAGTATTGAACGCCAAATTAACATACATTCAAATATTTGTACCTATCTTCAAATGAATTGTACCTATCTTCAAATGAATTAGAGATGGGTACAATTAATTCATAGGCTACCTATCTTTAATTCATTAGAAGATAGATACATTTGATTTGAAGATATGTACAAATGCAATGAATTGAAGATAGGTATAATTGATTTAAAGATAGGTACAATTGAATTGAATTTATCTTTAATTACTAAGATACTAAAATTGGAAATAATTACTCCCTTTATCATACGTCATTTCCGGTATATATTTTTGCACACTTATTGATACACATGTGATTTAAATAAGTATATTTGATGCTTTTTGCACATTTTGAATTTACCTTTATTTCTCCTTTCCTCCTCGGTGTAGTCTCTCTGTAGGTTCTGTGCGTTAATATGGAACACCAAATTAACATATATTTAAATATTTTTACCTATTCTCATATAATTGTACCTATCTCCAATTGAATTGTACCTATCTTTAAATCAATTGTATCTATCTTCAAATGAATTAGAGATAGGTACAATTCAATTATACCTATCTTTAATTCACTTGAAGATAGGTACAATTGATTTGAAGATATGTACAAATGCAATGAATTGAAGATAGGTATAATTGATTTAAAGATAGGTACAATTGAATTGAACGTGTCTTTAATTACTAAGATATTGGCAATAATAACTAGATAGTCTGCTATTGCAAGCAATAGCGTATGTTGCCCCGAACTGGACAAAACTTTCATTTCTTCATCCTTAAAACAATACCCATTAGCTAAGCTTGGACAACCATCAAATCGTATCAGTTCTTTCGGTACTTTGATTTAAAAACCAAAGTTAAAGAATTTTCACTTTTCCCCTGTTTCTATGGCAACAATTGACAATTTGCAATTATTTGAAGATAGGTACAAATATTTAAATATATGTTAATTTGGCGTTCCATAATTGAGATCCTTAGATAAGTCGAGGTTGAATCGCGCTGTACACACTAACACATACAATAAATAATAATAACAAGCAAATTCAAAGAATTGTGGTCCCCTGCTTTCGGTGTTTTTTTTTTGGGTGAGATGTCATTTTTATATGACATTTTGTGTCTAATATGAACGCCCTATCATAAGTCATCTATTTTGAAATTATCACTGACCTCCAAGGTCAAGGTCAAAGGGTTAACGTTCTTGGTATCCAATAAAAAGTTTTCTCTTAAGGATTACATATGTGAAGTGTGAAAACCCTAGCCCTTACCCTTCAAAAGTTATGATCAAGGTTAAAGTTTTCTCATAAGTATAAAAATTTTCCAAGGTCAAGGTCAAAAGGTCAAAGTTTTTGGTATCAAATTAAAGGTCTTGCCACAAAGAATACATATGTGAAATATGAAAGTCCTGGTATCTACTGTTCAAAAGTTGTGGCCAAGGTCAAAGTTTTTGAAAAGTAGGTCAAACTTCAAGATCAAGGTCCAAGTTCTTGGTATTCAATGAAAGGTCTTCTCACAAGAATTATATATATATGAAGTATGAAAGCTCTAGCCCATACCATTCAAAATTTATGGTCAAGGTTAAAGCTTGTTCATAAGTACGGAAATCTCCAAGGTCAACAGGTCAAAGTTATTGGTATCCAATAAAAGGTCTTGCTACAAAGAATAAATATGTGAAATATTAAAGTCCTCGTACCTACCATTCAAAAGTTATAGCCAAAGTAAAAGTTTTGAATTTTTGTGTAAAAGTGGGTCAAACTCCAAGGTCAAAGGGTCAAGTTTGGTGGTACCCAAAGAAAGGTCTTGTCACAAGGAATACACATATTAAATATGAAAGTCATGGCTTCACTAAATTTAAAGTTATGGGCAAGGTTAAAGTTTTTGTGACGGACGGACAGACTGACAGAGTGACGGACAGACAGACAGACGAATGAGATTTAATGTCCCCTCGCTTTCGCGAAAGCGGGGGACAAAAAAATTAAAATGATAATAAGTACAAATAGAAATGAAGAGGGAAAAAGAAAATACCCAAAATATTTATGGGTTAGTATGACAATATCTTTTTGTGTCTTGATCTGTTTTAATTTAAGAGGTGTCTAAATTTTGAGGGCAAGAAATCACGTGACCGGAAGTAATTTTTCATATTTGAGGTTACTTCTAAAACTATAAAACACTGCACATGTGGAATGAAGAGAAGAGCGTTGCTTATTACCAGTGTTTTTATTATCTTGATTGAGGATAATACAAGAGGCACTTGACGGTAAAGATAAAGTTCGTTTTTAAATGAATAAAGAAAGCTGAAGGAGTTTTTTTTTCGAATCAATAATGGCCTTTGCATTTAAAAACTTCGGAGTTTATATTTTGTCAAAGTGAAAGTAAACTATAAAAGGTCTTTGATTTTAAACAAATTAAAATATGTTAGAATAGTAATATTTTTAACGCTCTATTCTTATTGCAAAAATATTGCTCAGTTATTAACCATCAGATTATACGGTTTGGCCATTACAGTTTTAAAATTAGACACACGTCAGAAAAAATATTCTTTTGTACAAATACAAAATGGTGTACCAATTGTTCTTTCTGGTAAGTTTGATAATAATATCACCCAAACAATATTTAATCTTGACAGGTCATAATTTAATCTGAAATTGAGACTATATCTAATATTGAAATCATGCATTACTTAGTATATTAGAATTACATATATATTACTTGTAATGATAAAAAGTTGATCTTTCGATAGAAATAACCAAGCATTGAACTAAACATACAGCTGAAATACACCATTTATGTTAAATAATGTATTTACATGAACATTTTTATCTAATGTGTCTTTGCAATGTCTCTGTTGTCATCATGTATAGAAAAATCTTTAATAAAGAAAAAAACAAGGAGCCCACGGGCCTTATAGGTCACCTGAGTATCATGTAACAACTTTCCAACAATTGAATTGCTTCGTGTTTTAAACCAAAGGCCATGAAATGCACAATTTTGAAAGCGGCACCATTGCTTATCATAACTATACACTTAGCTTGCTTACTTTGGTTTCTTTATACCCAGAGGTAGATCAGAGTAACAAAGAGAAATGCATTTCCACTTTATAAGCAGTTGTGCATCCCACCTCACAGGAACCACTGATCCTGGGGCACATATTTCAAAATTCTGGAAATTTTATTATAAATTACAGTAGTTCATCATAAATGGTTGATTAATACCAAAGAGCAGATTTCAAAGCATTAATTTATTTTCAAACTATGTAACCCCCCTCCCCACCACAAGTACCCCTGACCCAGGGCCCTGAAATTCACAATTTTGGAAGAGGCAGCCTGCCTCATCATAACTATTTACATAGTACACTGGTTTAATACCCAGGAGGAGAGGAGATTTTTAAAGAATTAATGTATTTTTGCTATTTAATCATTAAAACCCCGCACTAATACCAAAACGACTGACCCTGGGGTCATGAAATTCACAATTTTGAAATATGCAGCCTTATTCAACATAACTATGTACTTGGTACGTTTATTTCATACCCAGGAGCAGAGAAGAAGATTTTCAATGAATTAAGGTATTTTCAATATCAATAGAGTCCCACCCTAACCCCAGAACCCCCAACCTAGGGGTCCTGAAATTCACAATTTTGGAAGAGGCATCCTTCCTCATTATACCTATATACATAGTTCACTGGTTTAATGCCAAGAAGCAAAGTAGAAGATTTTCAAAGAATTAATGCATTTTCACTACATAATTAGTAGAGCCCTGTCCTAACACCAGAACCCCTGACCCTGGGGCCATGAAATTCACAATTTTGGAAGAGGCAGCCTTATTCAACATAACTATATACATGTATTTGGTTTGTTTATTATATACCCAGGAGCAGAGAAGAATATTTTCAGAAATAATGTATTTTCATTATATAATCTATATAGCCCCGCCCTAGTACTAGAACCCCTTATTCTAGGGCCATGAATTTCACAATTTTGGTAGAGGACTCAATGCTCATTACATTCATACCAACAGTTTGACTGCTTGTTGTCCAGGAGTAAAGAAGAAGATTTTAAAAGAGTACATTAATTTTAGTGGTTTTGGCCCCACCCATCAGGCCCAAGGGGGAAGGCACCATGAAATTCACAATTTTTGTTCCCCTTTACCCATAGATGCTTTATGCCAAAATTGGTTGAAATTGGTTGAGTGGTTGCAGAGAAGAAGCTGAAAATGTTCAAATGTTAACACACGACGCACGACGACGGACGAAAACGGATGGCAATGTCACCCGAATTTACTCAGGTGACCTAATTAAAAGGCAAATTAAAATGTATTATTCAATGAAGATAAAATACTTTTTCTACTTAAAAGTTTTTTGTGAAAACATTCTATAAGTTTAAATGGTAAAATATATAAATATAAAACGAGTAAAATTACATTGCAACGACACGGTCTGTAATTCTGTAGCACAAAATTACAAAAAAGTGAACCACAGCAAATTGATTTGTGTTCATATAGATTTCTTTGATAAATATTCATCCTACTTTATTTTGCAGAAAACCTTTTATAAAGAAAATGTACAGCTGTAATCATGACGAAGAATATTATTACCACAAACAATTCCATACGGGAAGTGCATACAGAATTACTAGATAAACTTTTAGATTTTATCAAATATGACGGTGGACTTGATCGGTGGAGGTTATTTATTGGACGCATCACAGGAGCTCCGTATCCAAAAGGTGACGTGGTGGAAGATTTTAACACTCTGGAGGCAAAAGGACATTTGGCACCTGGAAAATATGATGAACTTTTAAAACATTTCGGTAAATGTGATCAAAGAGCGATCGAATACATCGAAGAGGCTCAGAAAAAAATTAATGAATTAAGGTAATCTACTAGGGTATTTTATTCTATGAAAACAAAAGAAATTTGATGTTTACGTGATGCATATTGTGAAAAGGTCTTAAAATGAAGAGAATTTATCGTATTTATTGTTTGTTTTATTGCAGAGAACATTTGAAAGACGTCGACAGTTCAGGTTGTTGTACATTTTCTAATAAAAAGGATAAATGAAAAACATGAGCTATTTATCCACCCAACTTTTTATTTAATACCCTTTTGAATAATTTTTCATATATATGTCATAATTTTTAGAGCCATTAATCGGCAGAATTATAAGTCGCAGTGAATGGGGAGCAACACAACCAGGGGGAAAGGTAGATAATTTACAACACATTCCAAGGTACGTCATTATATCACACAGTGGTCCAAACATCAACGCATTCACAGAACAACAATGTGCAGAAGAAGTACGTTCATACCAGACCTACCATATTTATAACAGAGGTGTGTAGACAGATTCATTCCTTCACTAAATAAAAATCATTCAAATACTCAAAAATAATTCTGAGAGAAATAATCATCAAGTTCGACTTTTTTTTTTAGGATGGTCTGATATTGGATACAATTTCTTGATTGGAGAGGATGGGAATGTATATGAGGGTCGTGGATGGGGTAAGGAAGGGGCTCACACCAAAGGACTAAATAAAGATAGCATAGGTATGTAATACGTTACAAAAATACAATAGGTATGTAATACTTAACAAAAATAACATAGGTATGTAATACATAAACAGAGATGGCATAGGTTTGAATACAGTAACAAAGATATCATTCATAGGTATGTAATACGTTAACAAATATACCATAGGCGTGTAATACGTTAACAAATATACCATAGGTATGTAATACGTTAACAAAGATACCATTTATAGGTATGTAATACGTTTATAACAAAGATACCATAGGTATGTAATACATTAACGAAGAAAGCATAGGTATGTAATATATTAATAATAAAGATACTATATGTATGTTATACATTAACAAAGGTACCATAGGTATGTAATACATTAACAAAGATGGCATAGGTATGTAATACATTAACAAAGATGGCATAGCTATGTTATATATTAACAAAGATGGCATAGCTATGTTATACATTAACAAATATACCATAGGTATGTAATACATTAAGAAAGATGGCATAGGTATGTAAAATGTTAACAAAGATGGCATAGGTATGTAGTACAAAGATACCATAGGTATGTAATACATTAACAAAGATACCATAGGTATATTGTTTCTATAGACCTTGCATACATATTTCGTATTCTTTAATACAAAAATTACGCATAGGTCTCTCCATTCCTTTTTATAACTATAGCTTTTGATATTTATTGCAATCAAACGATTTTTAAAAATCTTTCCTAAAAAAAAACACAACTTAATTTGTACTTGGAAATATCTCACTTATTGACTGAAATAAACATAAATTTCCAATATCTTCCTTTTTATCAGGTATTTGCTTCATTGGAAACTTTGATGAACGTCTTCCAAATCAGAGAGCACTTAAAGCTGCTAAAGATCTGATTCGAAGGGGTGTGGAAGAAGGCAACATACGAACTGATTTCATTCTGAAGGGACACAGAGATTTCAGTAATACTGCAAGTCCTGGAGAATGCCTGTATCAAGATTTGCAGAAGTGGTCTTTTCATCATGGAAATTGATATAAGTCATATCTAAAGAGATTACTCGGTATGTAATGTTGTTTCAAGCTACTATTTTGAAGTGAATACTTCAAATAAATTGACATTCTTTTGTACTTCCATGCAGGGCTTAACATATACATGTAACTCATTTACATAAAAAAGATTTAATAATTACAGAACAACGCCTTAACAATTCGGAGCATTGTAATATGAAAAAAAAAAACTGACGGACACACTCAAACATGGAAAAAGAATACAATATACATAAAAGTTGAATGGTCAAATAATTATTTGTTTTTCTTGGTGATGCGACCTATTAGGCGATAGCAATTTTGTATTTATAAATTGATTCACTTTTAACCTAGATTCGTTTCTTCGAATCGAAACATTTGGAAGGTCTAGACTGTTAAGGTCACATATGATGTCATATATTAGTGAAAAAATTGAAATCACAAAATTTTATCAAAATTAATAACATAAAAACCTACGACTTTTCAGCCCCATTTACAACCTTTCCCCTAGTTTTGTCATCATTGATATTATCCTGCTTTTTCAGAATGGAACTCGGAAATTTACTTACCTTGTCATTGATTATTTGCAAAATTATTTTGTTTAAAAACAATGTGCTTGAACACAAGAGTACTCTGAAGTTCATATTAAAAAGATGCTTGTCTTAAGTCTCTGATTGATGATATTAAAGTGGTTTTTGGAGATCAGGTCTTCCAATGCGCCCCGTTATTAGCAAACCTACACTCAACAAAACTTTTAAGTGTTCACTCAGATATTTGTATTTATTTAAAAACTACATAATAGAATGGTATGATATTTTCGAATTATTATAACCAATGAGACTTCTCAACAATTGTTGAAAGAAAATAAATGTGATCACCGATTAAATCCAATGTACCGTGATGAAGCTTAAAAACAAAAAATCTGTATTTTGCAGCAAGTGTTTTGTGTAATCAGCATCTTTTTTTATGACCATTATCAGTTTTTAGAAACTGGTTCAATTAAAAAACACAAAACACTGGTAAAATGTCAATTGAGGAAGAAGGGAGAACCGTTAGAGTGTTGATATCTTGATGATCCTTACGACACGTTTTTCTGACTTTCATTTTTAGTGTTTATTTCTTCTTGAGATTACTCTTAATGATTAACAAACTGTATAAATATCCATTTAAACACATTTTTCTATAGATTTTGCATCATTTTCATCGCCAACTTATCACAATTTGAAAGCTTTGAACAAAAGAATGATAGCACTTAGTGTACAAAACGTAGCCCCCGGTAAATTGCGCAAAACAAGTATAGAAAGTAGCCTAATGAGATTAATAAAACAATTCTTCTAATTCGCAACTTTGCAAAATTACAGGAATTAAAAGTGAGTAAAAATAAAGATATTTTTGTGTACATGGTCCGGTTTGCTTATCTTAGTCTATGTTGAGGCTTAATAGAAATTTCAAATAGCTAAATTTTTTATTAATCAGGGAATCTATTTTTCCGTCTGATACAATGACAGCTAAGACACATAGCAACCAAAGTTTGATTAGCCTATGTTTCTTAGTCAGCTATTATATAACTGAACAGAGTTTACTTCTATTTCTCTTCTAGGTGATTCATGCAATGTCTTTTCTGAACGCTTTTCTTTCGGATAGAGATGAGAAAATACCGCTCAATATATCTTGTGATGTCATTATATGGAGTATTGGAAGAATTTCTATTTTGGAAAACGTTTTTTCATTCACATGCTGGAAAGCACTTTTTGTGAAAAAAAAATCGATAAAAATTGCACAAACTTAAAGTTGATTGCACCCTACCTAAAGACCTTAATTAAACACGACGTCCTGGCTTTGAAAGTGCATGATTTATTTAAGGAATAACTGTCTTATTTTTCGATTTCATGATGTGATCAATCGATTGGGTTGCGTGATAATTTGCATAAACGCTGAAGGCGTTTATGCATAAAATTGTCACGCAAGCCAATCGATTGATCATCGTCATGAAATTGAAAAATCTGACAGTTATTCCTTATATTTACATGCTTTGATTCCGCCAATCCACGTGCTCCAAGCCCTGCTTCTGTCTAGCTGTTTGTTCCGCCCTACATTTTTTTTTTTGGGAACCGGGCCAATACATTTATGGGGAAATAAAGTACATGTACAATTTGTAATTTTATCTCGGACAAAGACACTGGAAATGTAAATATTGAAATAGACCCATCAAATAAAGACAAAAACTCTTCACATAATGACGGTTCCACTGCGGGGCGTGGAGACTGGACCTTCAAATGAGACGTACGGACCGAGGTCCCGTGTCGCAGTAGGTGCTGGAACAAAAAAGATCCCTCACTGCTCAATGGTCATGAGTGCGAGTACAGGTATAAATTTGCAGTCCTCCATTGGGAAACGGTGGCGTCTCCATATGAATGAAAAATTCTCGAGAAGGACGTTAAATAACAAACAAAACAAATGCACGTTATATAATGACATAAGAACGTCACAAAAAGACAAATGCACACCACCACATAAAGACAAAAGCACATTACATGATGATAAAAGCACATTACATAATATCAAATACACATAACATAATGACAAAATTAATGCACATCACATAAAGGCACACAAGTTATGATAAAAGCACATCACATAATGATAAAAAAGCACATCACATAATGACAAAAGCACATCACATAACGACAAAAGCACATCACATAATGATAAAAAAAGCACATCACTTAATGACAAAAGCACATCACATAACGACAAAAGCATATCACTTAATGAAAAAAGCACATCACATAATGACAAAAGCACATCACATAATGACAAAAGCACATCACGTAATGATAAAAAAGTACATTGCATAATGACAAAAGCATATCACTTAATGAAAAAAGCACATTGCATAATGATAAAAAAGCACATCACATAATGACAAAAGCACATCACATAATGATAAAAGCACATCACATAATGATAAAAAAGCACATTGCATAATGACAAAAGCATATCACTTAATGAAAAAAGCACATCACATAATGATAAAAAAGCACATCGCATAATGACAAAAGCGCATCACATAATGATAAAAAAGTACACTGCATAATGACAAAAGCATATCACTTAATGAAAAATGCGCAGGATTTTGCCATGATACGACAGTCCAGGCATTCCATACTTTTACGTCAGTTATCAGATGTTGTATGCGTTAACAGGACTCTCAACAACTGAAAATTTACCATGGAGGAAGCTGCGCAAATATGTAAAATGCTATCAAAATCACATGCATATTCCAGCTTCTAAGTCTTCCTTAAGCTGATGATTCTTTTAACGAAAGTATTTCAATGAATCATGACAACATTGTTCAATTGGCAATTCTCGGCTAAATCCTCTTAGTCTAAGTTCCATACAAACCCCTGATTGTTGGAGGAATATGCATCAAATCGATGCATTTCTTTGTTGAAACTACCTTTTAGTCTCTTCATAATTTGCACTGCATGAAAATTACCAAAAAAAATGTTTCCTATCTTGTTTAATTCCTCCTTTTAAATTTTATGCATTTGTTGTATCCTAATTCGGCATTAATTCATGTAACGGCATCATCATAAAAGTCAGCTAGTAATCTTTATATAGAATGCTACACTAACTTTGAATCCCTTTATCATTTTGGTCTTGACCATGCAAATCAGTTATTCATTGTTTTAGATTGAAAAATCTTTTTTTTTTTTTTTAAAATATTCAAAATCAATTTTTCTATTTGTTGTGTTTGATTTTTTATTCATATAGAGACGCCATCTCTTGCAGGTGGAATTTTTGGAACCTAAACTTTAAAATTAATGCCTTTAATATAAAAACACCTTATGAATAATTGTGTGTGGTTTGTATTTATTTCATATTTAAATGTTTATGTTATACATTCCTATGTATTTTTTTAACAATAACAATTTTTGCAGATGTAAAAATGAAAGTTAACTAAAAAGTTTTGGTTTCTACCAAAAGTTAGCCCTGTTTAAACAATAATATATTTAATGCATCTTTCGTATTCAATAAGCATATTTGATGTTTACTACCTGTATACAATCGTATGAATCGTAATACAACTTCAATATCAACTTTGGCCATCTTAGTTTAAATTTAGACACACGTCACTGAAATTCTTTTGAAATGGCGTTCAAATTGGTAAGTTATATCCTTTACAAATTATCAACAGATTTTAAATCAATCTCAAAATGTAAATTATATTTAAATATTATTATACAGCAGTTATTAGTAACCTTTTCATAACGATAACATTATACATTGTATCATTAACTGTATATTAAGCAATAAATTCCTCATGTGAAAGCATCCGAAAATACACGTTTCTAAGCCTAGCAATATTTATTCATAACTGTACCTTAACCTTGTAGTCAGGTCAAACTCTAGATGTTGTTCAAAACACAAACAAAAAATTAGTTACACTTTATAATGTGCATTTTCTCTGATTCAGAGCCATACAAAATCAAAGTACTGGCATTATTTTAAGAAGCAGGCATGCACATGCCAATTGATAAGTATTGTAAGTCCTTGACTTATTATTTTTGCTCTCTCTCTCTCTCTCTCTCTCTCTCTCTCTCTCTCTCTCTCTGTGTGTATATATTTAAATATATATACTAAAATATTTTTAACTTAAGTGAAAGTATTTGTCTTTTTTCCAGATACTTTTCTTAACAGTATTGAGTGCCATCACTACATTCTCAAACAGACATGAATACATACTACATTCTCAAAAAGATGTTTACACAGAATTACTATGGAAATCATGGAAATTTTTAGATTCTTTAAATCCAATATCCACAAAGGAATTTTCATCTTCTAGTAAAAATGACTTAGATATTGAAAAATTCGGTGACTGTGAGCAAGAAGAGTCCAGAGAACATTTGGAAAAAGTTCACTTTTCAGGTTTGTTATTCAAATCCTTTTAATTTAAATTTAAAAGAGAACAAAGCATTGAAATATTGATTTTGAGTTTTTGATGACTGGTAAATATATATCAAATAATTATTTTATCTATATACCGGTATTTTAGAGGTATTTAAGAGCAAATTTATACACCGTAATGAATGGGGAGCAATAGAGCCAAGGGGAAAAGTGAATGATCTACAAAAACTACCAAAATACGTCATTATTATACACAGTGCCTCTACTGAAAGAGCGTTGACAGAAAACCAATGTGCAGCAGAAGTGCGTTCATATCAGATCTACCATATGTATAACAAAGGTGTGTAGACAAATCCACGAGCCTTAAGATCGCTTTCATCCGGCTTAGATAACTTTGAGTAAAAAATAGTCAACTTTGTGATTGTTTTCAGCATATCACGGAGAGGAAATTTGAAATGAACTTTGGTGTTAATGGTGTTATTCATATTTGAATAAACTAGAATTTTTTTTTAATCATTTCACTCAAAAGTCTTTTTTTGGCAAAAGCGGTTCCAAACCTTTGATTTTTTTAACAACCCAATTTTTTTGCAAGTCGGATTAAAGCGATATTAAGGCTTTGGACATGTTGTTTCTTTAAATGCTTTTGATCCTTCTTTAGGTCACTCATGTGACAGAATGCTATCCGTTTTCGTCCGTCGTCGTGCGTCGTATGTTATCATTTGAACATATTCAGCTTCTTCTCTGAAACCGCTGAACAAATTTCAGTCAATTTTAGCATATGGGATCTATAGTTAAAGGGAATCAAAAATTGAAAATTTCATGGTCCCTTCCCCCTGGGGCATGAGGGGTGGGACCAAAACTAATAAAATTATTTGCAATCTTTAAAAATCTTTTCTTCTTTACTCCTGGACATCAAGCAGTCAAACTGTTGGAATGGGTGTTATAAACATTGAGTCCTCTACCAAAGTTGTGAAATTCATGACCTCAGGGTAAGGGGTTGTGGTGCTAGGGCAGGGCTATATAGATTATATAGTGAAAATGCATTATTGGTTTGACAATCTTCTTCTCTGCTACAGGGTATTAAATAAACTAAGTACATAGTTATGATGTGCAAGGACGCCTCTCACAAAATTGTGAATTTTATGATCTCAGGGTCAGGGCTTCTGGTGTTAGGGCGGGGCTCTATTGATTATATAGTGAAAATACATTGATTCTTCGAAAATCTTCTTCTCTGCTCCTGGGTATTAAATAAAGTAACTAAGTACATAGTTATGATGAGCAAGATTGACTCTTCAAAAATTGTGAAATTCATGGCCCCAGGGTCAGGGGTTCTAGTGCTAGGGCAGGGCTATATGTATTATATAGTGAAAATGCATTATTTCTTTGAAAATCTTCTCTGCTCCTGTGTACTTAATAAACTAACTAAGCACATAGTTTTGATGAGCATGAATGCCTCTTCCAATACTGGGAATTTCGTGGCCCCAGGGTTTGGGGTTCTGATGTTAAGGTGGGGCTTAATACATTGTTTAGTGAAAATGCAAGTTTTGAAAATCCTTTTCTCTGCATAGGCGTCGGAACCGGGCGGCTAGGGGGGCTTAGCCCCCCCCCCCCCCCCCCCCACTTTTTTTCCAAAGATAGACTTAGTATAGACATTGAACATCGCGGTGTAGGTTTAGCCCCCCCCCCACACACACACACACGCACACACTTTCCACAGACACGTTGTAGTCTAGGTTAAATTAATGTGGAAAGTGGTGTTGTTTGGAAAAAATTTTGGAAGTGAACCTACCCCCCCCCCCCCCCCCCACACACACACACAACACACACACACACACGAAATAGGATATTCGTGTTTGGACGGATATTTCCCTTTTTTTTTTTTTTGCTTGTCAGTTTTTTTTGGGGGGGAAGGTATAAAATTTTTTTTTACACTTAGCCCCCCCCCCCCACTTTTCAATTTGCTTCCGACGCCAATGCTCTGCTTGTACGTATTAAATAAACTAAGTACATAGTTATGATTAGCAAGAATGCCCCTTCCAAAATTGTAAAATTTTATGGCCTCAGGGTCAGGTGTTCTGGTTTTAGGGCGGGGCCTATTAATATATAGTAAAAACACATTATGTTTTTGAAAATCTTCTTCTCTGCTCCTGGGTATTAAACAAACTAAGTACATAGTTATGATGAGCAAGAGTGCCCTTTCAAAAATACTGAAATTCATGGCCCCGGGATCTGGGGTTCTGGTGTTAGGGCGGACCTCTATTGATAATATAGTGAAAAATATATTAAATCTTTGAAAATCTTCTCTGCTCTTGTGTTTAAACGGGTGAACTACCTATATGGCTATGACGAGCAAGGGCCTTTCTTCCAGAATTGTGCATTTCAAGGCCCCAAGGCCAGGAGTACCATAGAGAGAGGGGCTCAACTTATACTGAAAATGAATTGTTTGAAATCTGCTTCTTGGTATTAATCGAACATTTTTGTGCAATGTGTAGACCTAGGGTCAAGAGTTCATGTGTGGTAGTGATTTTTGCTGAATATTACTGATTAGTTTAAATTAGGGATGTTAAAATTGTCAATTATTGATATTCGAATATTCGTTACTAGTATTCAAATATATTCGAATATTCGATCAAATAAATACATCTTGCATTATATATAATTTATATCTTCATTCTCCTGTCAAGCGGTATAGGTTTTATGCCATTATTTTGGAATCAAAACTTATATAGAGTTTGGTAATTGCAGCACCATTATATTTTTTAAATTATCAAATATATGTCATTGAAGAGTATACATTCAAAACGTAATGATTTTTTTTTTTGGAAATCTCAAAGGATTCTTTGTATGTTCCAGATTAAGTGGTCGTCTTACTAAAGTCTACACACATAACTTCTACAAATTTATACCAAGAAGAACAATAATCTCCTGAATAAAAAATTAAAAGAAATCTTTTTTGCTAATTAATTTCCTGATAATGATTTTTAATGATATTTACATAAACAAGAGAACCGCGTGTTTACTGTAAAACTGTGTCCTTACAACAATACAAGATGACTTTAAGTACTGGACACTGTTATACAACTAATTAAGTGAACAAATGAATTAATTACTTTAATAGATACACTCTTCACACCTTTAAAGTATATGTAATCCAAGAAAAGAGTCTTTTAATTTTGTACAAACTTGATTAAATTTCTAATAAAACTTGCCAGGTTTTTCTCTCTTTTAAATGCGTGTACACTTTAAAAAAAAACGAATATTCGAATCATAAATTTATATTCGAATATCAGCTCATCGAATGAATATTCGAATATTCGTTGACATCCCTAGTTTAAATGCATTTTTTGTTCCCCTAACAGCCTATGGGTATTAAGTTACCAAAATAAGCACTTGCTAAGTGTATAGTTATGATGAGCAATTGTGCCTCTTTCAAAATTTTGAGTGTCATGGCGTCTAGTTTAAAACATGAACCAAATTCAATCATTGGAAATTTGTTGCATGATGCTCAGGTGACCTATAAGGCCCATGGGTATCTTGTTTTCTTTATGATAAAAAAAACATTTTTGTATTTCTTTTATAAAAAATAATCCTGCAGAGAAAATTTCAGCTTTTATGAAATTATTTGTCAGATTGACTTTCTTTTCACACTTTATGCTCGGTCAATATGATTTTCTATCAAGTCGATGTATCTATAGATGTCAACGGAGTGCAGAGTAGATCTTCCTAGACAAATTAAACATCGCGATATTCCCATTTCTGAAGCTTAAAGAAGACACGTGGTCTTGTCAATTATATTTTCGAAATTTCAGTTGGCACGTGTTTGCTTTGTTAATGTGGTTTTGTCCAAGGATTTCCTATTAAATGTATTAATAAATGATCGAGAAAATATTTGCAGATTAATTTTTAAATCATGCACTTCTACCATGTAGGAAATATCTGTCCAAATCGAATCAAACGGCTTTAGTTGATTTAAAATCAGAATATTCCAAAAAAAAATAATAGAAAAAAATTAATCTAACTCAACCAGTCAGCCTGCTAGTGGATGAACATATACATTCTTATTTCAAGGTTGGTCTGATATAGCATACAATTTCTTGATTGGAGAGGATGGGAATGTATATGAGGGTCGTGGATGGGGTAAGGAAGGGGCTCACACGTTAGGACATAACAAAGAAAGCATAGGTATGTAATACATTAACAAAGAAATCATAGGAATACATTAACAAAGAAAGCATAGGTATGTAATACGTTAATAACAAAGATGGCATAGGTATGTAATACGTTAATAACAAAGGTACTATAGGTATGTTATATATTAACAAAGGTACCATAGATATGTAATACAATAAAAAAGATGGCATATAGGTATGAAATACACTAACAAAGATACCATAGGTATGTAATACAATAACAAAGATGGCATATAGGTATGTAATACAACAACAAAGATACAATAGGTATGTAATACAATAACAAAGATACCATAGGTACATACAATAACAAAGATAGCATAGGTATGTAATACATTAACAAAGATACCATAGGTATGTAATACGTAATTAACAAAGAAAGCATAGGTATGTAATACATAATTAACAAAGAAAGCATAGGTATGTAATACGTAATTAACAAAGAAAGCATAGGTATGTAATGGGGAAATAACAAAGATACAATAGGTATGTTATATATTAACAAAGATACAATAGGTATGTAATACATTAACAAAGATACAATAGGTATCTAATACAATAACAAAGATACCAGGTATGTAATACATTAACAAAGATACCATAGGTATGTAATACATTAACAAAGATACCATAGATATGTAATACAATATCAAAGATACCATAGGTATGTAATGCATTAACAAAGATACAATAGGTATGTAATACACTAACAAAGATGCCATAGGTATGTAATATATTAAAGATATCAAAGATATGTAATACTAGTACTTGGACAAAGATAGAATAGATATGTATAGAAACCATAGGTATGAAATATATTAACAAAGATAGCATAGGTATGTAATATATTGACAAATAATACCAAAAGTATGATATGCATCATATGTTACCTTTATTTATGTTCTATAAGTCAAAATTACAAACAGTTTATAGTTTTCCATTTACTGATTTTAGGTTTAAATATCATTTAAATCAATCAGATTAAATCTATGTAAAATATACGGTAAAATGTCAAGTTTAACGAAAATCGGATTAAAACTATTCAAAATTCCATTGAACATTTTTTTACAGGTATTTGCTTCATTGGAAACTTTGAAAAACGTCTTCCAAATCAGAGAGCACTTAAAGCTGCTAAAGATCTGATTCGAAGGGGTGTGGAAGAAGGCAAAATACCGACTGATTTCATTCTGAAGGGACACAGAGATTTACGTCCTAATTTTTTGAGTCCTGGAGAATGCCTGTATCAAGGTTTGCAGAAATGGACTTTTAATCATGGAAAGTGATACTAGTATAACTTGTGCCGACAGCCGAGGATGTATATAATGTTTTTATTTTATTTTTTATCCATTGTGTTACAGAGAAAAATGAAATTAAATTATTAGAGCAACGTTAAAATGGATATTTAGAAGTCATACACACATCCATACACCCATTTGCATTTTAAATGAATATGGAGGTTGCTTCTCAAAGTAATCAGCTGGTCAACAATTGACTCTATCATATAAACTAAGTAACAAATACCTCCTCACATTATCTTACACTTGCTCAAAAATATTTTTCCACAAAATCCTTTGTTATTCACAATAAAACAGTTTTAAGTTGTTAATAGACATGCATCTTTCAATATTGTGTTTCGCTTTAAAATCCTGTAAATCACTTTTTATTCGCGAGAACTCTATTTTTGCGTAATTACGCGAGACAGTGTACTCGCGAAAATTTAATTCTAGCGTATAATAGTATTCCTTAGTATTATATAGAGAATTTACCACAATTCGTAAAAATATTGTCTTGCTCATAAAGAGTCAATGAGTTGACTTACTATCTCGCGAAAATAAGGTGTCGCGAAAATTTTGTGATCTACAGTACTGGTAGCTTAACAAACCAGTAAATGTAGGTATTTTTGGTTGTAATAAACATGAAAATATATATTGTTTCATATATAGTTTCATAAAGTTTTCAATGCTGATGTCCGTAGTAAGCGGTAATTCACCTAAGATAATATACTGCACAATGAATCCAACTCTTTTTGAAATCGTTCTGAATATATGTTACATCAAGTTCCTCCATAAAGATATAATAAGGTTACAACTGTCAAATACATGCAGTACAGATTTAGCTTCCTGAGCACAGAACTTACTTGTAAACGTCAGTAGTTTTGTATTGATTTTCTTAAGATAAGAATCTACAGGGAGGATCCCAGGTAGAATTCTATATTGTAGCCACTGTACAGAAGAATCAGAGGTAGTCTTAAAACAAACTTTTAAAAAATCTTTTACACATATACATGAACATGTATGTATCTATAACTCCATAGGGAGTTAAATCAACTTTGGAATTACTGTAGGAATTATATCATTTTTATTTTCATATATTGTGAATTCTCTTTGTACATTTTTCATAGTTAAATATATTTTCGTAATGAAAGAGTAAATGTGGTTGACAATTTTTTTTTCAAAATTGTTATATCTACCCGGTATTGACTTTTTATTTTTTAAAAAAATAGAAATAGCAGAAACAATGCTATCATACTGCTCTAAGTCTACATTAGAAATACTAAATTTTTGTTGGAAGACAGATTTTGATAGAAATTTGCAATCTTCAGACAAAAAATCTCCAATATTTTCACTCCATACTTTTAACTTTTATATCAATTTTCTATTGAGATAAAAGATACTACAGAGTCTGACACATCTCTTTCATATTTGGATACTAGTATTTTACTTGATAAAGACATTAATGGTTATCTAAAAACCAACCTCTTTGATAAACGTGATGACTTTAACTTTTCTATGGTCAACTGTCCTTACTTATGCAGCAGTATACCTTCATCACCTGTATATCTCAGTTGGTTCGATAAGAGCAATTAAGAGCATGTTCTACGTATGAAGAATTTCTGAAACGAGGTAAATTACTGACAAACAAGTTGATGAAACAAGAATATCAGCATTCTCGTATAAAGTCATCATTTCGTGTTTAAGTTCTTTGGTCGATACAATGACCTTGTAAGCAAATACAATTTATCATCGAGTCTAATGCTGACTGACATTTTTCATACTATTTGTTAGTCCATAATTTATATACTGGATTTCTCAATCATGACAAGGAGCACACGGCGGGTGTGAACGGTCAGCAGGGAATGTTAACTTCTCCATGGCACTTGATCCCCCCTCTGATGCTTTGGAGGTCCGTGTTCGCTCTGCTCCTATTTTGTATTGTTTTATGGACTTTTGATCTTGGATACAGTTCGCTATCTCTAAATGTTTCATATTACCAATAGTCGACTCCGTTAGACAGTCGTTGTCAACAAGCGTGACTTTACAATCTTTAAATTTTGACGGTTTGTGTCATGAGGGTTAAGTGCTTAAGTGGTCTATTTTACATCTATAAATACTAAATAGAACCTCTCTGACATTGATCACTATAAAATCCGGACAGATTCATGTAATTCACTTTCACACCATCAATCATCGACTAACGATGGCGCTGAAATGCGATGACAATGACTTGACTGTGTGATAGCGCGACAATGCGATGACGATGCTGTGATAGCATGATTGAGCGTTAGTAAACATCGCTTCATCGTCATTGCACCGCCATCAATGCACCACCATGTCATTGCTAATGTAACATCGCGATGTTTCATCGTGCCATCACATCATCGTCATCGCACCATCACTCTATCGTCATCACAGCATATCTTCATCGACATTGGATTGGCGAGTTACTAACGACCAAAAACTCAATGATGCGATGGAATACCCTTGTGCGGAGAGATTTCTTGTAAAATGACATTTGCTTAGTTTTCAAAACTAGGAAGTACCATAGTACCCGGAATATCACAATAAAACACAGCTTGTTTTATACAAGAAAGTGAACTGAAGAAAAACGACAAAAATATAGATTTTTAATATCTAAATTGCTTATATACATTATAAAGCCCACGTCTCAAGTATGGAAAGTAAAAATGTATAGTTAGGTACAGCTTTGTTCATTTATTTTTCAATTTTACAAACATGGTTTTCACCCCATGGCTGTTACCTTTATTGAGAGCATCAACATTGAAGGAGCAGCTTTACCTTCTCTGCTGGGAACCAGCAAATGCCGATTTAGGTCTGTCGGGAAGTTGTACCTGATCCGCTCCACTACTCTCCCTTGTTAGAATAAACCTCCGTACGTGCACTGGTGAATGTCTTCTTCGGATGCCTCCTCGTGACTGTTACAGATTTTTGTGCGAACGAATACTGTCCCTCCTGGTTTGGGAACTTTAAGATCAAAGTTATTTTCCTGTGTGAAAAAGAAAATAATCATATTTACTTTCTTCTAGAATACCAGGTATCATGTTGCTGCTATTGCAGTTTTCTTAGTTCATATGCATAGACAAGGGTTACTGGTTTTAATGAAAAAATGTCCCTGGGCTACTACACTCACCTGTATCACATCAGCTGACCCACCCCCCTTACTTCTATGTAAAATTATGCTACTGTCACCACTATGCATCGACAGGGTAAGGGTCATGATTTGATCAAACTTAAATCTACACTACCTGAGGATGATTCTATATAGGACGGTTTTCACCTTAGTTTTGAATTTCAGTAAGGCGCGCCATTCTCGGCGCTATGTAATTAGCGTCTGTCAAATGGCGAATAAATTCTCACTGGTTAAGAAATTAATAACATCGGGAACTTTAAATTGTTGTTGACAACGATGAGACGACTTAAGCTCCACCTTTTTGCCGGAAGAGAAAGTGTTATTGGTTATTCGATACACTATTGGCATTTGCCCGAATTTCTATCCCATATGTATTTCAACAGTGAAGGAAAGCTGTGTAAATTTCAGAAGCTAATTATGTAACGTCGACAATGCCACGCTTTCCTGAAAGTACAAACTAAACTGGTAATTGTCCTATCACTTTTCGTTTCTTTGTCATTTTAGGAGGAACTTTTTACACATGTACATCTGTATATGCTATAGTAAAACTTTGATAACTTATTGTGACCCCCACTAACCCCAAGGGGTTGCACTCTGGAACAGTCTCCCGACAGATTTGAGACACGAACAAAATCCACACAGTTTTAAGAAGTGTCTAAAGATTCATATTTTTAAGATGACTTTTTATCATTAATAACAACAAGTCATAGTGCCAAGTAATAAATCGGCAAATTCTCTTACATTTCTCAAGATATAAGTAACTCTTGTGGCATACGAACAGGTGGAGGAACAGACTGACTGACTGACGGACAGCAAGACAGACACCGGGTAAAGTGATTCCCAAATGTACATGTAAGGGTCACTCTGCTATACAGGTGACACAAAAACTCGTCTTCATCATACCAAATAAGTATAATTTTATCAAAGCGATATTATCTTTGTTCATTTTCCATGTAAATACAATTTTAATTTGTAACAGTTCTATTCCACATTTATTCACTCACGATAACAGTAAAGGTTCATTCTAAATTTGTACTCACGTCTCTATCATCTTGAATAGAAAATCTCTTTAGAGGTGAAAGCCTTGGTGCATCCTTGTTATTTGCCGTCTTTTCTAGCTTGTCACAGAAACTTTTAATCCTGTCCTCTAACCTATTAAGGTGGCCCTCGCTGGTCTCCCAGTCAAAATAAGCCTCGTCCTGTGGCACCTGAACCTCGCCTGTACTACCGTTAAAGTATCGCATATCGTTCATCAATTCTTCCCTTGCTGTGGCAGAGCAAACAATTCTGGACCTATTTTCATGTTTTTCGCGATGAAGATTATCTAACTGCTGAAAAAAATTATCGTTTTCACTTAAAATTATGTTGTCCCTTTCACCCTCTAAACTACCATTGTTGCATTCAGTTAAAAACACTCGGTTGTTTTCGGAAACTGGTCGGGTTCGCTCTTTCATTGATGTCATACTTGTCAGGCCTATGGCAGTGCGGGGTCGTTGTTGAACCTCTCGTCGGCTCGTCGCTCTATAATCACTGAATGGTCTGACAATGCTCAGTGACGGACTTAACAACTCTTGTTCAGCATTAGCCGTTTTCAGTTGCTTCATACTTCTAGCGACCTTTCTTTTCGGTATATCATACAAACTTCGCTTCCCCGTCTGCGGAACTCCTTTGGCCAGTTTGTTTCTGTGTTCCATAATTTCTGCTCTCCTTATTGTCTTCTTTCGGTAATATAGTGCATTGGGAACAAATGGTTCAATCATAGGAACTTTTCCTCTCAAATACAGATCTATCAACTGCTCCATCAATTGTTCCTTTTCTTTGTCTAACTCTGTAATCTGTTGGCGCAGTTGTATATTATTTTGTCTCCTAGGTAACTTTTCTTTTAACTTTTCTACAAGACTTTTTAACAGTGGAATTTTGGATCCTTTAGTTGTATGACAACGGCACTGTAATTTTTGTAAAGCCCTCTGACTTATTTTTGTGATTGTTTGTTGGTTTTTCTTTGCTACGAGACGATCGTAGTTCTTGGTGTCTAGTATCATAACAGTGGCATTAGAGTTGCAGATCACAGAACTGACACAAGAGTCAAGCTCTAGTGCCATTTCAACATCACCTGAAATTTAAACGATCTCATTCAAGAACTGGCCGTAACAATTGGTCAAACTTGCAAGTAATTTCATTTTTTTTTTTGCATTGCAGTAATTGGTTTCATACCTATCACATCATGTCTCTCAACGCAGCAGAGTTCGACACACATATTTCTTTGGCGCTTTTCTGCAGCTACATATCCATCTCGTCTACGCACGCGCACCTGCTGCTGGAGCACGTCACGTTCTTCTTCTCCTCTTGGCCTTGAATGTGTCCTTTAATTAATCAAGAGAAAATGTTATCCACTGGTTTACTTTACAAAGACAATCACATAATATATGATCTTTATTTTACACCATGTCTTACCTATTTAACTGATTTTGTATTGGTACAGAGTTTTGAGTGAGCAGATGTGAATACTGACTAGAATGCTGGTTTGGATTCATTACTATCTTTGCTTGTCCCCTACAATAATGAAAGATATATCAATACTGCATGTAGTTGAGGGTAACACTGAATATTTTTACCCTTGAAAACCATTGTAAACTTCGGGTGCGCTTCGGTTGGCATTCCTCAACTACATGCATTATTTATTATTTTGTACGGGATGTTTAATACAAATAAAGCTGATATATATGATCCACGCAATCAAACTTTTTAAAAATATCATCTGTCTTCAAGCAATGTTGACTGATGCTAAGTTCTGTAATTAGATCGGATTCGCGCTAGAGGGTGTGGTTTCATCCCTCAGTGGGAATCGGTGGGGGATTTTTTTAACGAATAATTTCAGACGAATCAAATTCACAAAAGAGTATAATATTCCAAAAGAAAGACAGTGGAAGACATAAACATCTACTAGTACACATAGACTGAACATACTGAATTATAAAGAGTAGCCCGGGAGGCGGATCTCCCTGCTTGACTATTGTAGACCCGTAATGGTAGTATTCCTTTCTCAAACTCATCTCCAACAGTTTCTTGAATTTAGGCGACCAGTTACTAAATAAAGGACACTTTTTGATGAAATCTTGTCTTTCCTGGTACTCTTCCTCTTGTTTTGCCTAAAAGAGTAAAATTTTCATTTTTTGAATTTAATCTCAAAGTTGTGTTCTAAAACATCGATTCTTCATACAGGTGATTTCGTACCATGCTATTCCTTACTACAGATTTAAATCATTCTGTGTTTAACAGTGATCAATGTCAGAGTGACAATATAGACACGGTCACTATTTAAATCTATTAGGTTAATCCCCCGGTACCTTCATTGATCTGTTGAAGAGTTCACGACTGATGACCAGTAGGTCGGTCTCCTCGTCCGCTAGTACAGTAGCATTACGTACTGAGTCCTCCGACATCAACGCTACCTCACCAAAACTTTTTCCTTCTTCTGCGTAAAACAATTGGAAATGTTTATGAAAGGCTTGAGTATATTCTTGGAAAATGTTTTATCTTGAAACTTTGTATTTGGAAAAAATGTCAAGTGTATTTTGTACATTCATAATTGATGTTTACACATTATTAAAGATTTTGAGGACATAATTAAATTATCTTGACTTTCATATTGTATCAAATTTCAAAATTATGTACTTTCTCTATCAAGAATAAATTGGTCGGTACATGTATCCACTTTTCCGTTACTTTGATCTCACACTCGAACTGCCTTTATTAAAAAAGAGGAGGAAAACATACCATAATGAATTATGAACTTTCCATACTTGGACCGGTCAACCACCTTCTTAACTCCGTTTTGTTTGTCTCTTTCTTGTTTATTCTTGCTGTCGTCTGCATCGTCTATATCCTCAGTTTTATCCTCCAGTACTGAGGAGTCTATCGTTTGATCGGTTTCGTCCGGCGGCGGAGCATCATCGTCTGATTTCTGGGTGTCGATGAGTACTGATGTTTTCCCCGTCAACATAATGAAGAAACTACAACAAAACACCAAATAATTCTACGTCGCATTCCAATATTGTAGCAACATTAGTATTAAAACAAACAAAATACCCCCTTATCCATACCAATGACCACAATACTGGGAATTATTAACACAGTTTTATACCACAGTGACTTTCGTCTCTCTAGAAGAAATTTTCGAGATCTTGTTCTAAACGTCTGAATCTCATTTTGCCTTTGTCAACTCTGATTTCCTATCCAGATTATTGATTTAAGAACTGGAAGAGTTTTATTTATTTGCAGCATTGTCAAATAAGTCAACAAATTAATGCCTTGATTGAATGTCTTTTTAAAACTTAATATCTCGGTGGAAAAGTGGTTTACTCAAAGCATTGGGGACAATAGTGACTGGAAAGGATTTAATGTTACATACTCTGGTGACAAAATTGAAAATATTTATAAAGAATTGAACGATACAATTCATGTTGAATATGGCATTATTGCAATAAGCGACAGCAATGACCCTACAAAACTGACACGCACCTTTTACCGTATAAACTGAATAGTTCGATAAATTCTGTATTGAATATATTATTTGTCATGGGGAAAGAACTATAAAAATTATTGCTATAATCTAACAATTGACAATATCAAGCTTGCATTTTTTATACAAGAAAATGGCCAAAGATTTAGTTTAAAGGTCTAATGTTCGGTAATATGAAGACAAATTTGGTTTGTATGAAGCCATCACAAATGTTTGTGTCAATCAATCGACTTCATAGACTTGCTTACGTATATTTTTAATAAGCCTTCTTTTTGGGGTTGATCATTTTTGACTTTCAACATTTGATAGAAAATCGCACTTTCCTGTGTAATTTGTACAATATAGCGATTAGAAATTAAATAAAATTCTTCTATTTAATATGTTCTTTTAAAACTGGATTAAGTGGTGTCAAATTAGCTGCAGATTTGTAGCGTTATGGTTTTATATATTTGTCTTTGACCATAACAGAGTCAACCTCCTTGGATCATTTTTTGTTGGTTTACCTGTTTCCCTTTTCACCCTGTTTTATGATAACGTCGTCTCGGAAAGCTTTCATGTATGCACAGTTTCGTATTACATCTGTCAAAACACCTACAACGAAAGGTAAAGTTGGGTATAATAACCATTTCATAAGAAATAAACAATGTAACTCTTTGATACGACAGGAAGAACAACTATGTATAATCATGAAATGGTTTCGTGCAGTTCTTTTGCGTGTAAAAATGTAAGGATGGTATGCACCCCTTTAAGAACAAGGAGGTGGTTTTGCAATTCACGTCTGGTGCTCTTAATTTTCTCATTATCTTCCTCTTTCACTCACTTTACTAAAAAGTTTGTTAATGTTTTAAAGGTCCTACACACATACACACATTCTTATGTTTTCATATCAATAAGCATTACTTTTAATAAGCATACCAGTCTTTAAAAAATTGGCCAGGAATAAACTATTAATACAATTTTTACCGATTTTTTTTTATTTAAAAAAAATTAATTTTATAAGGTTCAAGATTTTTTTTCCCACATGACGTTTTCATACGAAGCAGAAGAAATCTTGTTTTTCCTATCGTATATTATAAAGCTCACAAAGTATAACCACACAAGACTTAATTTTATCGGTCAACATGTTTTTTAAATCAAAAAATAGATAAAAAAAAATTATTTTCTCGAAGATTTGTCTCGAAAAAAATAATTAGGACTCCTGACAGTATAGAAGAAACATTAATTAATTAAACTACAACAAGAAATTGAATTAAAATAAAATTAGCTGATGTAGGAAAAATATTTTCAAAGTCCTTGGTATCAAAGTTCCCTTTTTTAGATTTGGGTCCATCCTTGCGACGATGACATTCCGTTGGGAAAGATGCTACAAGAGACCTATTGGTTACATTGCTTACCGGTACGTTCTACATGTATCTTTTTTGGACAGATATTTTACTTTATATGTGTAAAAATCTGAACCTCTAATGTGACTACAGTGGATATAAGTCACACTTTCTTTTTATTATTAATCAGGTATTTATAACTGATATTTCTATTTATGATGATCTTTTTAGGATCTAGTAGGATCTCACGGTGATTTAGACAGCCAACTTTTGTCGTATTTTTTTCTATTTATGGTGACTTCTCTTGACCATTTCATCCTTAAACATAAAGATTCTTTTTCATGTGTACTACTTTTTTTCCTGATCCTAGGGCCTAGAGAGGAATGGAAAAGTGTGAAAAGTAAACAACTAAAAGATTCATGTTTTTATGATATTTATCCTTTATGTCTCAAAATTTGATACCGAAATAGGTATAAAAGTTTTATTAGCTAGCATAGGCGTCGTAAGCAAATTGAAAGTGGGAGGAGGGCTAAACCAACAAAAAAAAGTAAGCCCCAATTTCCAATGCGTATATTTTGCCAATCTTTGAAAGAAAGCCCTCCCCCCGGTTCCGACGCATATGGCTAGTGCATCCATATCCATACATATCTTGTTATAATTTTTTTCGGCAAATTATAAACAGAAATTTCATGTGAATGTTTCAATAGATTTTGTTATATAAACATATTGACGCTATTCTAATTAAAGAAAGGTATTGATTGATCGAGGGATTACTAATAAAACAAAAGTCTTTGTCCAAGTCACAATCCCTGTGGGTATATGAAAGAAGGTTGGTGTATTACGAACAAATTTAAACGTGCATTCACAAGGAAATGGTGTTGAATCAACATAGTCAATATTACTCTCTATTGTTGTAAATTTACTCGCTAGATTAAATTTCAACAAAGTTTTATTGAGAAATATTGATACAAGAGGGAGGGCATTAGATGCAGTTAATATTTGAGAACCATCAAAATGTATACCCTATTCAACTTGATGATGTGTCCGACTGTGATGTCAAATAATGTGTATAAATCAGTTGGTCTTGACCAACACTCAATTAATGTTAATGTCAAATTGCAAAATTTTATAGAAATGAAAACCGATAGAGATATTGACAGGTATGTTTCTGATAATTAGTCATAATTTGTCGTCTTTCTTCAATTAAATCTCAATTATACTATTGAATACCTCCAAGAGCGCTCGGTTAATTCCTTTAAATTCTCAAAGAAGGTCACGCATATTCTGCAAAATATTGGCCTTTTAATCTTTTAAAGGATATATTCCAAAGACCAATTACACACAAAATCACAAGAGCCAAGACGTAATTGCGTTAATGACTGTTCAATGCAGATGAAAATGTTCGATTGGCGACAAGAGAGAGTCGATGTCTTGAATAGCCTATTTTCATTTAGACAGATTGATTTTTGATGTGTCAAAATTAATCCAGAATTGTAATAAAAAACTTTACAAGAAATTTGAAACATGATACTTTCAGTAGATAACAGTAACATTTATATTTTTTAAAATGCAGAAAATGCATATGGGCTTGAAATTTATATTTGTGCAAATTAATTTTTTTTCAAATAATGTGGAATAGCATAAGTATTAAATATTTCTGAACTTATTCAGGTTTTGAATATTTCTTTCTCTTTTATAATAAATTTATACTCACTTTTATCCAGATCCTTAAATAGATCGCTCTTTTTCCGTAACCATGGTAGCACCAACTGAATTTCTGCATCTTTCCTCTCTCTTGGAGGCTTAGAAATAACTTTAACAACTCGTTGTTGCATATGTGCCATTTTCACTCTATGACAATTTGGAGAATATCATTTAGCTCTTTTTCAGTAATAACGCCAGGTTACTTTGGGCCGTAAAAATTGCATAACGTTTTCTTTAAATTGAATAAACTCGTCCATTAAACTTTAGATTAGAATAGAGAAATCCTTGTGTTTAAATTGGTCAGATGTAAACACCATTAATTAAACAATCGCTCCACTTCACAATACACGCAACTTTCAGCTGTGGAAAACGAAGTTCAGGAAAACGGTCTGCGTCTTACAACATTCTTTCCTCTGTTAATAATTAACTCAAATTTCTTAATTTCTGATGTCACTGATTTTAACAAGCGCAAAAAGTGGATGTTTTCTGTTAACCCGTTTCTTCAAGAACTGTCATTTTTCTCCTGATACATATTACGGGAAGAAAAATTATCCCTAACTCAAACACCGCACGTGTGTGTTTTGTTCTATTCCATGTTTGCTATACGTACTATACATCACACGTGGACAGAAGCATATTTGGTTAGCTATTTAGCGGCTGTCCTCTCTTGGTACATAAACTGTGTATACAAGATTTAATGATCCAAAACTTTCAAGTGTTCGATACATAAATTCTAAAGACTAAAAACATGATCTAGAGAACAAAAAAAATCGTTGCTGCTCTCCTCCGGTTTATTTTTAGCGTAATCTTTCAATCGGGACTTTTAAAACCTTTATTGTGTAAATCAAGAAAACTTAGAATAATTTTGTTATGGTTACATTTAAAAGTTCACAAGAGAATGAATGGTCGCGACTATAAATATTGATTCTTCACAACAATATTGAGAATATTTTGTGTTCATGACCATATTGTCGGGAAAGGTGTTCATTTTCATGTCAAAGATTATTTTTCTTTAATTGGCCAGAAAAGTATTTGTTTAATTGAAAGGAAATATATTATTCCTTAAATAAACTATTTGCGATTTTTAAAGTGAACTTGTAATAGCTTGAAAAAATAATAAAAAAGAACATGACAGAGTCTACTTTACAACTAATTATTTTAAGTAGTTTGTTAAATGTTTCCTTTGCACAAAATTTTATCATCGTCTACTCAGAAAAACTGCCCTGCTGAAAAATGATAAATATACCTGACAAAAAAAATCTAAAACAAGACAAACAAGCAAATCCAAAGAATTGTGGTCCCTGCTTTCGATGTCTTAGTAGATGGGATGCCATTATTTATGGCATATTGTGTCAAATATGTACACTCTATCATATGGCACTCAAAAGTAATCACCAAAGTTAAGATTTTGAAAATAGGGTCAAACATGAAGGTCAAGGCCAAAGGGGTAAAAAAAAAATCCTAGTAAGCTCAGAAACATCAGGTAATGCACATGTCAAAAACGAAAGACATCTCTCTTCTCAATCCAAAGTTATAAGGACAGGTAATATTTTTGAAAAGTATGTCAGTCTTCAGGATCAAGGTCACAGGGTAATATTTTGAAAGGCCTTGACACAGGTAGTATACATGTGTAATAACAAATCCCTAACTTTTCTCTTTTAAAAGTTATGACCAATGTAAAAGAATATTAAAATTTTTGAAAAGTAGGTCAGTCAAACTGCAAGGTCATTGGTTCAAAATGAAAAGTAAATTTGGAATGGTCTTGTCACAGGTGACCTACATGTGAAATATGAAAGATCAATCTCTTCTCATTCAAATGTTATGAACAAGGTTAAAGATTTTTAACAGATGGACAGACTGACAGATGAATGAGATTTAATGTCCCCGCTTTTGCATAACCGGGGAACAAAAATAAAAAACCTTCGGTGCAATGTCATTATTTGACTCCAAAATTGGTCTCATAAATGCATTTGATAGTAGGAATGAGTGCCACATGAAAGCAAAAAAACATTGTAAATCTTGTAAAATATTTTAATATTCTGAGCGTACAAAAAAGCTGTCTATCTTGAGAACTTTCCCTGGACAAACTTGACCTTTCCTTTGATTGGTGACCTCTGTAGACAGGTTTGTCCAGACATGTAAGGTTGTAGGGCCTCCGGGATAGCTACACTGCCATCCTCTTGTTGGTAATTCTCAACAATCGCCATGATTAATCTCGGTACTGCACATGCTGTGCCATTAACCTGTATAAACAAAATGTTATAAAATCCAAATCCAAGAGGTCTATGTGCCACAATGCTCAACTGAGTAACTACACATGTCTGCTCTTCATTAGCAAATTTTTTAACTACATATTCCTTCTTTATACGTAAAAAAGAAAATAGATCACATATGATGGCTCTATCTGATATGAAGGGCTCGTTATGACTAAAAACATGTACTAATTTCTTGTTTCTGAGAAGAAGAATTTTAGAGTTTTTTTTCTAAAAATTCCTGAAAAAAATTAATTGCACATTAAGGCCCAACTCAAAGATGGTTGTGAATTAAACTCAAATTTTCATCACCCGAGGATTCTTCCATATAAATATGACTAAGCATTTTCAATCTTATTAGGAAGAAGATTTATATTTAAAAAAATCTTATATATTCCTATGTAACACTTTGAACATGTTTTTAAAAACGTGATACAAAAGTACATGTAATAGTACAGCAGGAGATTAGAACATTATCTTACAGTTTCAACATGAACAGGTCCTTCTCTCTCAGTATCCCTGTATTTGATGTTAAGTCTTCTGCTCTGATAATCTGTGCAGTTTGAAGCACTTGATATCTGTGGCACAAAAATAATAGTCTCTTACAAATGTGACAAATGTGAACTCTCTCTTTCTTTCTCTCTCTGTCTCTAATAAGCTAAAAAAATTCTGTATTAAGGAAATGTACTGTAGATTCCTTATTTTTCGCGAGTGTTTTTTTTTCCGCAAATTTGGCTCTTTAATGCCAAATCGCGAGAATTATAATTCGCGAAATAACGGTTGATCACCAGAATTTACATAGAATTCAGCACCATCAAAATGAAAGCAAGTAATAATTTTTCGCAAGCGACGCTTCTCGCGAAATTACGCGGAAATTAATTCCTCGTGTATAATTAGGAATCTACAGTAACACAACATATCCTGGTACAACCAATCAAAATAAGCAGGGTCCTGACATATCTTATAAGCCTCATTTAAGCACATTATCCTCATATCCTGATATGGAAATGAGAATTTCATGGGGAAAAAATGCTTCTACATTCATGCAACACAATTTTGATTTTTATTGCAGCATCAAGAACATGCAAAATTTTAAAACACATCATTAAATTTTTAGTACAAATCTAAATCCATTTGAAAAATTCAAAGGAGGCAACACCTTAGTACAAATACCATTAGATACTTGTTTTGCATGAACTTAGTATGTAAAATTATGCACAAACTGTAAATCACTTTTTATTCAAGAGAACTTTATTTCAGCGTAATTATGCAGGACAGTGTGCTAGCCATTCATGATTTAAACTTAACTATGAATTCTGAAAAAAAAACCATTCAAGGCTAACCTACCTCTCCCCAGAATTGTTTAGAAGGCATCCAAGTCTCTATATCAAACTTTCTGTAAGCAGGTGCCCCAAGTTCATGTGTGGGCATTTCAAGCACTCTGTAATGAAATGAAACAAGAAGTCTGTGAGCAACTGTTCACTAGTAATACCCCTGCTCTGATGTGAATATACACAAGTTCAATTAAGGGCAGATGCACAGATAAATAGGAAATTGACATCAGAATCATATAAAAATAAATCCATATGGCATGCCTCAACAAAGTATGTTCTAGAATTTCAAGCATCTGTAATGAGTAGTTGCTGAGAAGAAATGTGATGAGTAGTTGCTGAGAAAACTGCGACGGAAATTTGTTATGTATGAAATGGAAAGAGGCATGAATAAACAGGAACTTGACATTGGATTTGAACAAAAATGAATCCTATCATATGGCATGCCTCAGAGAAGATTGTTGTAAAATTCTAAGCATCTGTGATGAGTTGTTGCTAAGAAAACTGCAACAAAAAAATTGTTACAGACAGATGGAGGGAAGGACAGACACACAAGGGTAAAACAGTATAACCCCTCTCCTTCGGAGTGGGGATATAATAATCTCCCCATGTATTTACTTATAAGGCTAGAAAAAAATTAATCAATAGTTTCTCAGGCCAAAAAAAATCAAAATTCAATGAGGCAGGCAGGCTCTTTTTCTTTTTTTCTTTGAAGTAGGCTTAACACCTTTTTAAGCCATTTGTTTAATAAAATGATAATATCTACCATTTCTTAATTTTTGTTCTCTGGTATTGGTTATTATATGTATTCAACCTTAAATAATGTAACTCCAAACATTTTTATAAAAGTGAATTCATAAAATACTGAAAATTTCGAGGAAATGTATTGTTAGCTGGGCCCATTGCTCGTAGAGCAATGCCCGGCTTTTGCGACAGTGTTCAACCGAAAATGCTGCTTCATCACCGCCAAATTAAATGTATGCGTAAGAATATAGTACGTTTGCACAATCACCATTGAAGCAATACAAACACTGAATTAGACTTTCAAATTTAAAGTTATCTGAAATTGTCAAAAAATAATTATAATAAAATACTTTCTATCGTCTTCGACGATTATTAATTATTTGCTTAAAATATGCGAATGGTATTCATCAGGTATCCCTGTCAGCGTCATATTCTATAAATAAAGGTTGTAGTAGATGTATCAGGTTATCACAAATGATGGAACATATATTGACTTGATGTATGCTTTGATGCAAAACTCCCCGCTGGGGACACATCTGTGCATAATTGTTTGACCTTAATAATCTTGCTGCATCAGTGTTAATTTACTTCTGTTGGTATATAAGACCCCGAAAAAATACATGCGACAAATATTTTACACTGTTAAATTCTAGCTATATTTTAATTAATTTTTAAAACTTTTTAATGCTATATATGACATAGAGATATATAATTATATTCTTAATGTCTGAATCGGCTTGTTTTTAAACTGTTATCGCGGTCATAGTTCATTACCCTGTAAATGAGCCCGGCTTTCAGTACTTCTGAGTACTT